TTAGACCGTTGGTTTTCCCGTTTGGATGGTTTTACATGTCACTAGTAATTTTTGGGGCCCTTTATAGCTTACTGTTCGGTGTGAGCCAAGGCTCCGTGTTGAAGACCGTACTGTGACCTATAATGGTTTACTTTTATAAATTTTGACTTGGATGGAGAGTTGTCTCATTGGCACTCATACCACATCTTCTTATATCTATGACAGTATTTATCTCATTTACCGGGCTTCAGGAGTAACTAGATATAAAACCAATTTGTTTTTTTGTCATAGTAACCTAAACCTGTCACAGTTTCCGGATAAATGACGTTCTGTGTCTTCGGAGAAATGTTGAGGATTGTTGATCTTGAGTCATACATTTTTTTCGAATTTAGAAACTCGCATTAAAAGGATTGAACGCCCAGACTGATTAAAATGATGATTAAAAATGTCAATTGCTTTGCTGTGAATATATAATAATCTATGTTTGTTTATCCTGTTTTTGCTTTCGATGACATTTCAAAACTCGCTAAAAAAGGTTATACTTTCCAATCCATAAATAATATAACTTGATTGACTATCAGGGATTTATATAATCGTCATTGCTGATTAATAGCTGGTGAATTGATCATCTGGTATCAATATTTTTATAGGTTTTGCAGTTTCCGATTTTTCAGACCATCTGATCACACCCGGTTTTTGGTGAGGTTCGTGTTGTTCAGTCTTTAGTTTTTTAAATTGTGTTTGGGGAAGTGTTGATTGTAATAAAAAATTGTAATATATATATCTGTCCATTACTTTGACATAATTTTTTTAAATTTACAAGATACATGTGCGCCATTTAACGTTAGTGTTTTCTCTCCATACTTTATAGAATCATGTGCATAACAGTGTAGCCGAGATCATTGATTGGCGCGCAAAAATATCCCATTGACTGGGTCAGATTAGGTGAACGTTCGTCTGTAACGCCCAAAACTCACGACGTATTTATTATAGACATTTAAACTGTGAGGTCACCAAAGGGTCTCAACGCCTAAATAAAATAATTCGAAAAACTAATCAGGAATAACCTTTGTGTTTTGATTTATATTGAATACTTACACTGAACTGCGGTCAAGCTTAGCGAAAGGTCGTGCAACATAATCAGTCAAACAAACTTTATTAGATTAACTCGTTAAGGAACGATCGTTTTCATTGGTCAATTCAAACCTTCGACCTCACACCTGCGAAAATAGAACACGCGTACTATAAAGCTGAATGGACTGATCAGTATTCACGTAGCCGGTCAAGGTCGTTAAAAACTTCCATCGTCGTATTCCCGAACATGATTGTGTTCTTGATTATCGCATGGCAATTCTAGCTTTTATACATGTGCATGTAAAATTTTAAACTTTAATCTTAACAGTCACGTCGAAATATTTAATTCAACTGTCTCCTCTCAATTGGTCCTGGATTAAGGGAGCTACCATTTTATTTTGATTGGGGGTGAAGGACTTGGATGAAACATTTTGTCCTACCTTTTTGTTTAGTTGTTATCTCTGTCCTGTCTTTCTATTTTTCAGTCTGTTAGGTCCTGACTATATTTATTCGTTTATCCTGATTTTTGTCGAGCCTTCGACTTTTGTCGAAAAAGCGAGACATAGCGATCCTACATTCCGTCGGCGTCGTCGTCGTCGTCATCGTCGTCGTTGTCGTCGGCGGCGTCCACAAATATTCACTCTGTGGTTAAAGTTTTTGAAATTTTAATAACTTTCTTAAACTAACCTGGATTTTTACCAAACTTGGACAGAAGCTTGTTTATGATCATAAGATAATATTCAAAAGTAAATTGTGTAAAAAAAAAATTCCATTTTTTCCGTATTTTACTTATAAATGGACTTAGTTTTTCTGCCAAGAAACATTATATTCACTCTGTGGTTAAAGTTTTTGAAATTTTAATTACTTTCTTAAACTATCCAGGATTTCTACCAAACTTGGAAAGAAGCTTGTTTATGATCAAAAGATAGTATCCAGAAGTAAATTTTGTAAAAAAAAAATTCCATTTTTTCCGTATTTTACTTATAAATGGACTTAGTTTTTCTGCCATGAAACATTACATTCACTCTGTGGTTAAAGTTTTTGAAATTTTAATAACTTTCTTAAACTATCCTGGATTTCTACCAAACTTGGAAAGAACCTTGTTTATGATCAAAAGATAGTATCCAGAAGTAAATTTTGTAAAAAAGTAAAAAATAAATTCCATTTTTTCCGTATTTTACTTATAAATGGACTTAGTTTTTCTTCCAGTTAACATTACATACAGTCTGCACTTTAAGTTTTTAAAACATTTATTAGATTCATAAACTATCCTGGATTTTTACCAAACTTGGACAGAAGCTACTTACAATCAAAAGATAGTATAGAGAGGAATATTTTTATTAATTTTTTTCCTCATTTTTTTTTAGCCTGCGATTAACAGCAAAAGTAGGCGAGACACTGGGTTCCGCGGAACCCTTACGAATTTTTTACATAAATAGTCATCCTGCCTTTTTTTTGTCAAGTTGCTCACCCTGCCTTATCTTTTATTCAATGGACTTGATGAATTAACGTTGTATTTGAAATGAAACCGTACTTAACTACAAAAATAACCAAATTACATACTAAAGATATTGCTCGATTTTTATAGTAAATGGGTTTGTGTTATAAACTGTCATGTTCATTATTCATATTCTTTCATAAGTTTTAGGATAGTGTGATTTTTTTCTGATTTAGTTTACTTGATTTTGAAAAAAAAATCCCGAAATTCTAAGTAAATTCAGAACATGTAACCAGCCATGCTTTGTTTAGAGAAAAAATGGAGATGGCAAACCATGGCACAGTGGAAGGAAATGTACTTTATAAACTCCAGCGATATACTTTCTTAATTTATAATTAACTGTTTTGCTATCCTCGGTTGAAAATTATATATTGTAAATATTTAAATAGTTGCATAGAAAACAATCAGTTTTAAACAGTGTGGTTATTCACTAAATGTATTGATAAAAGGTGACTCCATTTTTGTACATACTTTTACAGTAGTCATCCTTAATTTCTTAATATTTCGTTTATAAGTTTATCATACATGTATGATTTTGTATTTCATTTTAATACGCACGCATGCCACACGTTACTTTGGCGGATTGTTCAACAATGTTATGCAAAGCTCTATTCTTACGGTATGAAATTAAAGGATAAATTTTCAACCAATCAAAATCGAAAACAGTACATTTATATAGTTCCTTATAAACTACGACATTTCTCACAAGTTTTTATTTATTTTTTAGTTCCACACATGCAAAAATAAAATCTTCGCCGATGAAACATTTCAAACCTTTTTACTCCAACATGCCTTCACTGAATTAATTTGAATTTCGTGGTGACCATGATAGTACATTGCATAGTACATCTATATTCACGTGCACACATGGTACGATCTTTCGGGGACAATTTGCTCGTTTATGACACGTCATTTCTGAATGACCAAACGCTTAGCTTCTTTATTTTCGTTTTATAGCATGAAAACAATAAAAGAGGAAGGTGCAACCCATCATAAATTTTAAATGGATCAGTATTATGAGATCCTTATTATAAGTAACTACGACATTGTCAGGATAATAACCTAGCGTCAATATGAAAGAAATTAAAGTGGTTCATACATTCATCCGTATAAAAGCGGCACATGTATTTTATTTTATCCTTATATTTTTCATAGTGCGGTACAAGTGCTGCATGCATAAAGAATATTACTTAACACAAATTATTAGTATAATATTTCGACCCCACTATTTGAAATTCACAAAATACTTATTTAATTATTTCGACCAAAAATCATTGTTTTTTACGTTCGTAGTATCGTAGTACATTCCATTGTCGGTCACCTGTGTCAATTCACGTGCACACAACAATTGTTGTTGTATTTAAAGCCAATGAAGTGAGACGTTACAAGTTGTTTGTTTGTGATACGCCAGAATGTTATCAATGAATTATCAATCGCTAAACTTGACTGCATCTCAGTGTAAACGTTCTTTACTTGTGTTTTCGTTATGTTTTGATAATCAATTTTTATGACATCGCACGTTCTTTCAACAAAAAAAAAAAGGATTTAACTGGCTTTAAAAGTTACAATGCATGTGTTGATTATTATCTTTTTTTTCGGACGTCAAAGCGATTTAACAATTGCGGTTGCATGTCCAATTATGTCATCTTTTAACTTTTATCTGGTCAAAATTTTATTTTAGAACGAATGCATGATCAACTTTAAAAAGTGTGCGTACACAAAACATATAGACAAAAAATACTTCTGTCCTGTCTTTTTCGTACTTGCAAGTTATTAGACAATAAAAAGGCTATTTGGATCAAGCCTTGTGGAATTTGCATTTACGTTTTTGAATAGGTAAAATGTATAGTTTGGTGAACTTTTCTGCTAACTACTATACTTGTGAAAAACCCTTGGCAACAGAAACATTTTCAGCTTTTTTTTTAATCGACCCAATTTACATAGTAATGGACGACTTCGTACATTTTATGATCGCAAATAAAATATGTATATAATATACTGTGCACTGTAGTTCGTATATATACTGAAACCCTTTGGCAACCCCACAGTTTAAATGTTTATAATAAATACGTCGTGAGTTGTGGGCGTTACAGACGAACGTTCACCTAATCTGACCCAGTCAATGGGATATTTTAGCGCGCCAATCAATGGTCTCGCCTACACTGTTTTGCACATGATTCTATATTGTTTGTTTTGGTCGCCTATTTTACAATATTTCTAAGTGTATCAAGATAAAAAAAATAATGTAAACTAAATATGTAGCCATTATTATCTTTATTATTAGTAGTAGTAGTAGTTGTAGTAGTAGTAGTAGTAGTAGTAGTAGTAGTAGTAGTAGTAGTAATGATGCTGTTGAATAGGTATTGATGATGATGAGGAGGAGGTGGAGGAGGAGGAGGAAGGGGAAGAAAAAGAGGATGGTTGTAATTATTATTATAATTATTTGCAGAAAACCTGGCACTAAAGGGAATAGCAAGACAAAAGACAACGTTTACAGATGCAGGTGGAATAGTTCACAGTGCAAGCTTGGCTGTAGAAGGACCTGCAAATAATGAATGGAGAGATGGATGCTCATCTACACTTCCAGGTCAGCCTGAAGCGTGGTGGGGTCTGTTTCTTCCGGATCTAGCCTATATTACAAATGTGGTGTTTTACTTTCGTGGCGACGGTAAGTTTTAAGTCCGGCTTTTCATTCGAATGGATACATATTTCCATCGACGGAGTCTATATACATAATATATGTGCAATGTAATATCCTTCCAATTCCACAAAAGTAGTAAAGTTTATGAGATGCCTTAAGCTTAACTTTTTTTGTCATCTTTTATGTGTAGTTATACATATCATGTAAGTTGATACATTTGATGTCTTTTATGTATATACGTTCAATGAAATAATTCCCCATACGATGGTTATTGCAAATTTGTTCAACCTAAATTCGTCAATTTTTCGTTTAAGTTTATTTACTACTGGTGAATTTGACTTTATAACGTCATTTACGCTTGGCTTAGAAGAAAATTCTAGTCGACTACAGCCATAAACGTTTCAGTACTAGTGCCTAGTCATTTTGGTCTAATCAAGTCTTAAAGTCATATGAAACTTCAGTTGAATATGTTTTATATACTTGAATGGCTAAAGCTACATTTTACTATAAAACAAGACTTAGTGTACGTGAGTTTTCTTGTAAAAAAGAATCCTTTATATTATCTACAACTTCATACATTTACTGATATTGATTTTCTGTCTTCTTGTACTCTAAATCGTCGATATTTTTTCGTTTTTAAAACTAAACTCAGTTGATATTATATAGTGGGTCTTTCTATGTTGTGATGTTACACTATTGTTTCAGAAAAAGGGTGAAGGTTTGGTACCATTAAAACGTTTAAACCCGCTGCATTTGTTTGCACCTGTCCTAGTCAGGAATCTGATGTTCAGTAGTTGTCGTTTGTTGATGTGGTTCATAAGTGTTTCTCGTTTCTCGTTTTTTATATAGATTAGACCGTTGGTTTTCCCGTTTGAATGGTTTTACACTAGTAATTTTTGGGGCCCTTTATAGCTTACTTTCCGGTGTGAGCCAAGGCTCCGTGTTGAAGACCGTACTTTGATCTATAATGGTTTACTTTTATAAATTTTGACTTGGATGGAGAGTTGTCTCATTGGCACTCATACCACATCTTCTTATATCTACTATCAACTACGAATTCGAACCTCTCGTTAGAACTTCAGCCACCACACAACGCAAGTGAGTGGGGCAACCCGTCACGAAAGATTGTAAACAAACGTGCACTGGAAGGTAAAACATATCATGGCTCCATCAATTCACTTATGTTTCACGTGCTCTGTGTTGAATGGTTATCAATGTCACGATCTGGTAAACTTCGTCAACGCACTTGAAAGTTAATTAGCTTGCGTTCAAACAATTACTGAATGAGATATTGTACGACTTTGCCCCCAGCAGAGCTATAGAAAAACAGTACATCAACGGGTGTTACACGGACACTTTTTAGATGATACACGGACACTTTTTAGTTGTTACATGCACGGACACTTTTTATGAATAGAATCACTCGTGTATGATCAGTGAGTTCTTGGGCACTTTAAATTTCAATTAGATTTGAACTTTTTGTTTCACCGACATATTTTCTGTCTTTTTTATTAAAATATTTACGTTGGCATCAATAACTATATTTTTTTCAAACAATTCCTGTATATTACTATTCATATCAGTAGACTAAGGGATTGACCATTTAGCTTCAAAAGGGGGGTTATTATTTTTTCCTAAAAAAATATTCTGATCCCCAATTTTATGAGAAAAAATATGTTGTGGTCAAGCAGATGACAAAATAATGTTCTGATTCGGGGGAATCCTGATTTTCCGAATACCGTATATAATAGTGCTAATTACAAACAAATATTTGGGCGATAGCGTTGAAAAACTAAATAATGTTCTTACTCAGAAAAAAACTTAACGTGTAATACATGTTCAAGTAGAGATTTACGGAAAGTCTCGGTACCGACTGTTTTCACTTACTCTGACAGAAAAAATGAAGGGGATCGTCTCAAAATAAAAAAAAATGTACTAAAATTTTAGCATTTAAAGGTAAAAGTTGTAAATAACTGTTAGAATGAAACAATAAACTGTCATATAAAATTTCACAAATCTTACCCCACCCCCTCTTTGTTAGCTCACTTGGGCCAAAGGTAAATGTGAACTATTGCCATGACCACTTGCATCCGTCATTGACCGGTTGTTTTTTAGGCTTAAAAAAGTATTTGAGCCAAACTTAGTAAATGGGTCATTTTAGAAAAAATGTCGAATTTTCAGTACACCTGCTAAACTTATTATGGTTAATGAAAAACGCATTTGTAAGTACTTAAATGAAGGATTGTAGCATTTGTGATTCTTTAAATCAATAATAAACATGATTAAGATCTATTTTTATGAGATTAAAATATTTTTAAAGTCGGATGTTTGCGTAATTTATGTGCGTACAGTGTCAGGAAAACAAATTTTGATTTTGTTTTCCTTGTTTTCTGATTGCCTTGAAATCTGCTATATAACCATTATAGAATGTTTAAAATAACTAACGAAAACTCACAGTTTCTTTGTTATTGTATGTAACATTTTTTTGAATAACTAATTTCAATCGGCGTACATAAAATGCATGACTATAACGTTACCGATACTAGAATAACCGTTTAATTATTTTAAAAAGGAACTATTCAGTGATGATATAAAAATCACAAAGCATTATAAAAATTGTACACGGCACGTTTCTCACATATCAGTGTAGAGAAAATAACTTAATTAGAAAAACTAAGTGCGTACCGTTCTGTCATTTCTATGTTGTTACCAAAAAATCTATTATAAATTACAACAATATTATACTTGTAAAATGTGCAAATACGTATTGGAAACCAAGACCACAAAAGAAAACCACTATCCCTGCAAAAAAGGGAGTAGTTATTGCACAACAGCATTCATAAATATAGAAATTTGTCTATAGTGTTACTGCATATCCTGTTACTATAGTTTAAGTAACAGGATAGACAACATAAAGAGGATGGCTTAAACTAGTAACTTTTATTCAATTTTACAATTTCGACATTTTTTTTATGACCCATATAGAAATGCTCTTTACATGGTTTACTACAAAAAATATATCTAACAGCCCTATCCAATTTTCAAAATGGCCATCACAGACTTTGAACGGTAGACTTCTCCTCAAAATCTGCTAAATGTAGGTTTGAAATTAGACGGAAGAAATGTTTTTGGAATGATCTTCTCCAAAACCTCTACTGATTATTCCAACAAATTTAAAAAAAGTGGCCACCATGGCCTGTGATTTGTTGACAGACTTTCGTCAAACATTTGTTGGCTCATTCGAACCAAACTTGATAGAAATTTTCCCTTGGTTGCCAGAATGGCCGCAACAGACTCTTATTGGTTGGCACAAATCATGAATTTTTTATCAGCACGGATTATCTGTTCTCCCTTCTCCCACTCCCTGGTTAACTAAACTTACCTTTATTTTCGTATCTGTGGAACAGGAAAATATTTCTATCAGAAAACCGGATTTTTTTTTTATTTGTGCGTTACATCATTATGTAGGAAAAAAATCATTCAAAAGTACAGTACTTATCTGGCTTCATATATTATGTGTATTATGTTTATGAACTTGACGATACAACCGATTGATATGTGCTGTTAAGGAAACTGTGAATTCAAATTTTGCTGCTTTTTGCCGGTGGAGCGAAAGTACGCTCCGTTTAAGGAGACTGGTTTTATTTGCTCAAAAATACCTTATGAATCAAGTGCGCCGTACAATTCATTTTTGAGACGACCCCTTGCATTTTACCTATCAAAGTCGGTGTCAACTGTCGGTACCTAGACTTTCCGTAAATCTCTAGTAGGCAGCAAATCTTGAAGAAAATCATTCAACTTATGTCACCAATTTTGGACGGTAAGCTGCGATTGGATCATATTGTGACACGTGTCTAATCCTGATCAACACTATTAAAGACATATAAAAACCTATAAGCATGATTTTTTTTTTAAATCCAAAATATATGCCTATATATACATGATATATCTAATAACAAGACAAAATCCATTTATACATTTATATTGTTATTGAATTCATATATATTTAATTCATATATTTGGGAGCAAACGTGCGATTTTTATTATTTCTAAAAGGGGAATGGCGGAATAGAATGGCAAATCCTGCATTTTTTTTAACAAAACAAGGATCAAGCCTGTTTATTTTAAATTTATTTTAACCCCCCCCCCCCCCCCCCCCTCCCCTCCAACCCTTTCCCGTTTTTCCCCAAATAAAAATCAAATGTTAGCTTGCTTACCTCTGAAATGTTTTCATACATTACTTACTTACGAAGTTGCATTTTAAAAAGTCTCAAATGTGTACGACATTCATCTTTTACTTGCCATGGTTCTTTTTTTATAAAATTATTAGATTCTTGAATTTCCTGAGAAAAAAAACTCTCAGCTGAAGGGAAGTGAAAAAAAAAGTTTGTTTAAACTGTAAAATTGAGAATGGAAATGGGAAATGTGTCAAAGAGACAACAACCCGACCATAGAGCAGACAACAGCCGAAGGCCACCAATGGGTCTTCAAGTCAGCGAGAAACTCCCGCACTCGGAGGTGTCCTTCAGCTGGCCCCTAAACAAATATGTATACTAGTTCAGTGTAACTTACATTAACTGGTATATCGCCATTTAAGTTTCTAATCTGTTTAATTTTGCTACCTCTTCTAAAGCAAAATGTACTACTTCGTTCTTGAAACGTCGTACAAGTCAAATACAAAACAAAGGTAACAAAAAACCGACCGGAAACAAACTGCCGTATAGTTCTTCTGCACTTGTAGCCAGGTCAAGGTCCTCGGCTATCACCTCGGACCTTCACCTGACTACACGTGCAGAAAAACTATCCGGTAACGGTTGTTACCGGCCTGTTTCTTTGTCACTTTTGTATTGTATCTAATACTTATTTGTCGATACTACGTTAACAAAATTTGTAACAAAGGTAAAAACCGTGCACATTATTAGTTTAGTATATATGCATGCATTGGTTCAATAATTTCGATAACATTATAATATAATATAATTACCAGAAGCTCATTTCATATGACTTGAATTAGGGAAATATTCCGAAAGAGAAACACACTTTTTCAGATTTTCAGTCGCCGTTTTGATCGATAGTGCATGACTGCAGGCATTTAAAACTTCTTAAGACCTGTCAAGATAAACAAAACGGATTGTCCTAGCGTTCAGATAAGACTAGATCAGTCTTTTGTGGAAAAAATCAGACGACAGATAAAAAAAAAAAAAAAGCGTTAAGATTTGTCAGATCGTGTGCAGTTGTGTTCAGTATAAACTCATGATACTCGGAGTTAAGCTCCCTAGTATTGAAAAGATTTTAATTAATATTGATCAATACATATATGTTATAAATAAGTTTTGTAAATACATGTTTAATTAAAAACGATACTTCCTAATTTAGAAATTATATATAATAAATGATTACTTTTTTAGATACATGTACTTTAATTACTTATTTCATAGACAAATTAGACAAGACAAATGCTTTATTAAAGTATCACCACTTGTAACATATAAAATATACAGCACAGTAAAAAGATAACATCAAGAGCCACTCTATAAAGAGTTACATGTATGAGAGACTATAAACAGTTTAATATATATATATTATAAAATAATTCTCATCAACAATACTAGCACAGTTAGAAATAACACTACGGATATCTGCATGTACACAACAGTTTAACAAAACATGTTTTGCATGTTCAACGTCATCACGACAATTTATACATACTCTATTTTCTATATCAATATATTCGCAACGACCCGTTTTAGTTCTGATGGGCGCTATAAACACCACATCTTAATTTGGCCAAAACGCTTCAATATTTACCAGGTATATTACAAATCAGATAATTATCAGTACGTTATTATTTTTTTCATTTGACATGATTTTGTCATACCATTTTTCATTAAATTTTTCAAAAGGTACATTTTCAAATTTCTAAATTAATCGTTGTTTGAAATAGCCCTATTACACAAATATTTCATATCAAGCTCCTTTTAACTAGTTTTTCAATCTAAAATGCAATTTTTGTACTCTTCTACATGAGTTACCCTATATACACTCTTTTATTTACTTGATCATCATTCATTTTATTTGAACATGTCCAATTTCTAAAGACACTAGTCCGCTGTTTAATTTTCCATGACATACAGCCCATGTCACCATACACATTTTTTGTATTTTCCTACACCCAGGAAAAAAAGCACATGGCTCTATTTTTGACACTATTTATACATAAAAATTTGCGTGTTTCCCATATAGATGCACCATAATCTATTTCAGACCATACAAGAGTATCAAAAAATTTAAAAAATGTACAATATTAAAAATCCACCGTTAGCTCTACATTTAGATATCACCAAACCCAAAGACCTACTAGCATTTTTTGCTATATTATCATAGCTGAATTGCTCATTAAACAACTAACCTAAATACGTATATTGGGAAACAATATCAAGACTTTTACCATTAATTTTAAACCCAAATTGAAAAGTTGATCTCAATACAGACTGTTTCTAAAATGTACTATTGTAGATTTTTCTAAATCAACTGGTAGGTCTCCATGTATTAAAACAAATCTTGTATCTTTTGTAAGCCCCCCTCGTGTTTAGTTACTGTAATAAATAACAGATCATCCAGTGGCGAATCCAGAAATTTTCATAAGGGGGAGCCCACTGACTGCCTAAGAGGGGGGCCGCTCCAGTCATACTTCAGTGATTCCCTATATAATCAACAAATGTTTTCCTACAAAAGAGGGGGGGGGGCCCTGGAAAACCCTCTTAATCCGCCTCTGTCATCTCCATATAACAACATGCCAACCTTTATGGTTTGTAATGACTATACCTTTGTTAAATTTCTAAACCTCATCAACAAGATGATTCATATAGACATTAAATAGCAATGACGACAGGAGATCAGGTGGAAACTAAGTTTTCTTGTAATATAAAAAATACACTTGAGTAGTACATTCATAAATATTCTTTTACAAACAAACAAAAAGCGAATATTTATAATTAGTATCATTACTGTATCTTTTATGTTTTTTCTTTCAAAATGATACTCTAATTGATAATGTAAATACATATATAGGTAAAATTAAAGTATGCGTGTATTACCACCATGTTGGTATGCAGGTATATACATAGTGGATGAAGTTAATGTATATGTACATATAATAAGAGTTCAGATACAAATGTATGTAGTTTTTGCATTATCATTTATCTTCATTTAATTTCATTTATTTTCAATAACCTGACTGATTCGTTGATTATGATTTTTGACAATTGACAGAAAATAAGAACTACTTAATTTAATGTAAAATGAACAGTTTTGTAACGACGGTAGGATATTAACAACAATAGAAGATCCCTTAGCCATGGCGGCCGAGTATAAGTAATTTTCAGGCCAGGTTTAATCGATTTAGACCAATAATACGACAAGAATTTACGACGACAGATAGAATAATTAATTAGTTAAATAAGGATATACAGTTCATCAACGAATTGACGGTTTCGTGTGCTCTACAAAGTTTTTATAGTTTGGATTTTTTAATTATTTCGTCTAAACATGCAGTAAGAACGCACACGATGAATGCTATTACAGGAACACGTGTTTTCTTTATCGAGAGAGATTGTTTTCTTTAACACATTTACGAAAGAAATGTGTTTTTATTACTCATCTTAAAATGAAACAGGACACATATTAATTTTGTAGTTTGTCATCTTAAAAAAAAACCAAAAAACAACAACTTAAAAATCAAAAGAAAAGTTCGTCTGCTACTATTTCTCCCTTTATTTCAATGATGACGAAGAAACTGTCTAAATGTATTCATCATACTGATTACATTTAACTATGTACTACAATTTTTACTAGCAGCCTAAACAACTACAGCAGTTCTTTTTTTTTTATTCATAGACTCTGTAATTTACAGAAGAGTCTTCTATAGACGAAACGCGCGTCTTGTGTACTAAATGTTAATCCTAATATATATGATGTATTTTTTTAAACCACTGGGTCGATGCAACTGCTGGTGGAGGTTTCTACCCTCAAGGGTATCACCAGCCCAGTAGTCAGCACCACTGTGTTGACATAAATGATCTTTGATATGGTCATATTTATGAAGTAACTGTTTACAAAATTTTGAAGTTTTTGAAATACTAAGGATTTTATACCCCAGGAATTGATTACCTTAGCTATATTCGGCAAAACCTTTCGGAATTTTTCGGCTCTCAATGCTCTTTAATTTCGTACTTTGTTTGGACTTTTTAACTGTTTGGATTCAATCGCATCGATGCATGATTCTTTTGTAGACGAAACGCTCGTCTAGCGTAGATGGTACATGTACATGGTCCTGGTATCCATGATGATTTTTTTTCTAAATGGCTGGTTGAAATTATCGTTATCGGATTTCATTTATCAGAACTGTTTCTTTTAGATCCAGGGCAAACAAATGAGTTCCGTCTGTATCTATCTAATTCATCAGAACATGACCCGGTTAAATCATTATGCTACACAGATTTAGGAAAAGCGGGCTTCCCTGAATCTACACATGATAAAGACTGTAATACGCTGACGAGAAATGTTTATTTTTTCAACCGAAACAGGGTTGTTGTGATATGTTATATAGAAGTTAACGGTAAGTAATTACAAAATTAATGTAGTTAAATATAATCGACACTATCATGTAAGTTGAAATAAATGTAAATCAAAACATGGTTATCAAACCCTTACTTAAACGGAAAAATTAAATGATTTGTATTGTTATTGTTACTAGTATTAGATTTATACCAATCCATTGATAAAAATTGAAATACGAGACTGTTATCGTGCCCTTTTGACGTTAATTTTCAAAATTAACAAAAAGTAAAAACGAAACCATGAACACTTCATTTCCTTTATATATATATATATTCCGCAAGTTTTTTGTTTTCTGTTTGGTATTAAATTAATAATTTTAAAAGATCCATTTTGTAACATCTTGTTATCCGTTTATTTGGCAATCGCCAATGGCAGTCAGCAGGGTTTAAGAACATCTGTTGTTCGACCTGTTAGTCAAATGCGTTTTGTTAAAATATACTTTTTCACTTTTTTGGTCTTTTGGAAAATGTTGTTTGTGCTGTATTTAGACCCCTCTAACAAGAAATTTGTTTTGCATGCACACGTATAAAAATTGCAGTTTTTATCCAACGCAATCATAGGTATGAACGTTGTTTTCAATTTAGACTTGTTTATATTTTTTCGTTTGGGCTTGTATTATATTTTCCTTCGGGTTTATATGATCCGTTCATCCCATTTCTAATATTTCGACTCTCCCAAATTCAAGAGTCTAATCCTAAATTGAGGTAAATTATATGGCCTTCCAAATACCGTTTCGATCCCTAACATCACTGAAGAGACATTAATTGTCGAAATCCGGATATGGTGTACTAATTTTTGCACCTTTTGTTTGCGGTATACCATCTTTTCCGCAAGTTTATTGTTTTCTGTTTGGTATTAAATTAATAATTTTAAAAGATCCATTTTGTAACATCCCCCGTTTATTTGGCAATCGCCAATAGCAGTCAGCAGGGTTTAAGAACATCTGTTGTTCGACCTGTTAGTCAAATGCGTTTTGTTAAAATATACTTTTTCACTCATTTGGTCTTTTGGAAAATGTTGTTTGTGCTGTATTTAGACCCCTCTACCAAGAAATTTGTTTTGCATGCACACGTATAAAAATTGCGGTTTTTATCCAACGCAATCATAGGTTTGAACGTTGTTTTCAATTTAGACTTGTTTATATTTTGTCGTTTGGGCTTGTATTATATTTGCCTTCGGGTTTATATGATCCGTTCATCCTATTTTGACTCTTTCAAAATTCAAGAGTCTATCCTAAATTGAGGTAAATTATATGGCCTTCCAAATGCCGTTTCGATTCCTAACATCACTGAAGAGACATTAATTGTCGAAATCCGGATATGGTGAACAAATTTATGCACCTCATGTTTGCGGTATACCATCTTTTCCGCAAGTTTATTGTTTTCTGTTTGGTAATTATTTAATAATAAGATCTGTTTTGTTACATCTTGTGATCCGTTTATTTGGCAATCGCCAATGGCAGTCAGCAGGGTTTAAGAACATCAGTTGTTCGACCTGCTAGTCAAATGCGTTTTGTTAAAATATACTTTTTCACTCATTTGGTCTTTTGGAAAATGTTGTTTGTGCTGTATTTAGACCCCTCTACCAAGACATTTGGTTTGCATGCACACGTATAAAAATTGCGGTTTTTATCCAACGCAATCATAGGTTTGAATGTTGTTTTCAATTTAGACTTGTTTATATATATATATATATATATATATATATATATATATATATATATGTATTTCAAAAACAATTTATTGATACTTAAGAAACGTCAAACTCAATGGGATTACTGAAGACCCTGTCAATTTTTGTGCCTAAAAATGGGCTTTAAACAGACCTGTAATTGTTTGAAACTCATCATTGGTGTATCTGTTTCTTTGAAAGACAGACGTTATACGAGTTGAACATATGTGCTGAACTATGTTTCAACGATATTAACTTTACCAAATTTGAGTCATTGTCGGTTTTGTACAATTAGCAATACGACGAGTATCGCATTCAAAACAGTAAATGCATAGCCTTTTAATGGAAGAGTAAACACCAAATGATACAGAATAGACTTGAATTGAAATCAGTATTTTTTATTCATAATAATGTACTTTGTAGGCTGCTTGAAAGGTACTTGGGGAAATAACTGCACAGAACTATGTCCATCAAATTGTATAAGCAATCATTGTGAAATTGGAAACGGCACCTGTGTCTGGGGATGTGACTCACGTCACTGTGTTCATAACAGATGTGATAAACACACAGGTATTTGCGCAGATGGATGCGTAGCTGGACGAGCTGGGCAGTACTGTAGCAAATGTAAGTGTTTTTTTCTGATTTTGGTTAAGATATTAATAAATGTTCCCGTTGAAATGAAGAGCCCATTGAAACGAAACCAAGAATAATTATGCTTATTAATAACTTGCTAAGTTTTTAAAAGTTGTTACATATTCTTTAACGATTTCGACTTTAATTTATTCTAACTGAAATAAAAATACATTTTTTTTCAAATTTTACTTTTACCTAGCACATTTTTGGCGAACCCCGCCCGAAGGGCCGATGTAAACTTTTGCCATTACTTTGGCGTCCGTCGTCTTTTTACAAAGATCATCTGAAACTATAAGGCAAGATTTAACCTCACTCAGCCAAAATCATCAACGGGGTATCTAGTTAATAACATGTGTTCAATGACCTCGCTTGCCGACAGATATGGCCGACATAGCTAAAAAAAGAACATAGGGGTAAAATTGCAATATTTGTTTATTATATCGAAAACCGCTATAGATAGAGAACATCTGACGGGATCAAATATGTTGAGAATGATGATATCTACTGAATGTGACAGCAAAACTGTCAGACGTCTTTTTATAAGAGTTATGGTCCATAAACAACAAATTTTACCAATTTTGTTTTTCATGTTTGCCTATATTTTCGAAAATAACAATAGAAAGACAGAAACTTTAAATATAAAAAAATAAGCAGCCCCAAAAAAAAAACAAAAAAACACAAGATCTACGAATAAGTCTGCATGACCGAAATCGTCAGTCAACACCTTATTGGCGTTATTACCATGATAACCCTTTAATTACGATTTTTCTCAATTTTTACATATTTGTCTATAAACTTAAAACTTTTATAGATAGATGGAAACTTTAAGGTGGAAAATTGATCAGAAAAACAAGATCTACAAATATATCAGCTTGGCTGAAATCGTTCGTCGACTACTTATTGAATGAAGTTATTGTCCTTTAATGACGATTTTCTCTCAAATTTTGCATTTTTGCCTATTATCCTGAAAACTGTAACATATAGACAGAAACTTTAAATAGAAAAATGATCAGCAAGACAAGGTCAACAAATAATGTTGATGGCCGAAATCTTCAGTCGACCCATTATTGGAGTTATTGCTCCTTTAACATTTTTTTAAAACTTTTTTTGGCGTTTAGCTTAATTTATGATCTGGAAAATTAGTATCACTATATAGAGAAATAGATACTTTAAAAAGTAAAAACAATCAACAGGATAAGATCTACAAATTCGTCAACATGACTGAAATTGATTGTTATTTCTTAATAGAGTTGTCCCCCTTTAATGATGATTTTTACTAAAATTTGGCCTCTGTTGAAGATACAGGACGTTGCGCACGATGTTGATACTAGTGAGCATTACACGACGTTCACTATAATGAGATGATTTTGACAGTGTTCCAAAGAACGTTTCAAGCGTTCAAGCATATATTTGATAAACCTAATTAACTGTTATGAATTTGGTAACCTGAATTCGGTTTGTCGAAAAATACATCGTTTGTACAAATGAAACTCAAAGTGGTCGCATATATTTTTTTAATGAATGTTCATTTAAAGGAATTGTTTGTCTTTCAGGTCCATAATTGAAAATTGAAAATAATTAATTAATGCATACATTTAATTCCAAATTTACACAGAATTCCTTTTAATAGGCCTGTAAAGTAGATATTGAATTTATTTTCCATACTTTTTGGATATACATGTACGTACCCATTTTATTGCATTTCTTTCAGTTTCCTTTCGTTTCTATGTTTTCTCATTTCCCGATGCCTTCCTTGTCGCAAAAGGTCTAGGCTAGTTCAATATTTGAGAGTCATGTTTTTCTCATTTCCGTATTTTTGAGGCATGTCCTTTGTTTGTTATAATTTGCCGGCAATGGATTTTCTCTGTTTTTTTTTCGATAATAATATACTTTTTTTTTCTTTAGACGATTTGAAACCTACAGATAGACAACGTTTCTTTGAACAGTAAAACAAATACATGAATACTAAAAACCGATGATCACGAATTTTTTTTTTATATTAATCTCATTTGATCAACATTCGATTTTTAACTTAAAATTATCTTTTCTAATACGTGGGTTATATGATAACTTATATACATTTTTTTATTTGAATTAAACTGAAAACATATAATTATAACATAAATTCTAAAACACGGGCATGACACCAATTACGTTTTGCGGACGTTGTGACAAAATGGCTATACCATAAATTGTGTTGCCTAACAAAACCCCTTAAGTTTAAAAAAGAAAAACTAAAAAACTTTTACTACCAATTTTTTAGTCTATGATCCAACCATGTTTTTTTTTTAGATACACAGCCGTTCAAAACCTTAATTGTAAAAAAAAAATATAACGTTTTTTTCCGTTGTGACAAAATGGCTATACATTTTGAAGTCAATGCGGTAATGACAATACTCATGTTTCCGGCAGGAAAATATTATGGAACAGGAATAAAGGAAATGAACTTTTTAATGTATAAATATTTTTCTTCTCAACTTTTCCAATTTCACGATATAAATGCACGAACCCGATATATGCCTACCTTGCAAATGCTTGGATATTTTTCAGACCGTTTTCAAACAAAAATTACATTTTCCGGTTTACAGTTTCAGTGATATTGATTTTGCTTTTACATGCACATAACTCATGTAACTATAATAAAAGCAATATTCTTGTCATCAGAGAAAAAATACGATATGACAGACACGGAACTCTGATCTTTTGCACACACAATGTAACGTTGACATTACGTTTTTGTGTGAAAATTGGATAATAAAGTGTTATAATTTTTGGTATTTTAAATTTCGATTACTATTTTTCTTTACTTTCAAGCCTATTTAACTCAATTCAACCAAAAATCACAATTTTTTAATCGAGCTGACCAGTCCACGCATTTATCTATAGCAAAATGAAATTCATACAAACATCATGCGCAACGTCACAGGTGAGCGACACGGGCTCTTAAGAGTCTCTAGTGTTATATTGCTTTCATTGTTTATTAGCTCTCTATTTTGTTTTGATTTTAGTTTTGCATCTTTTTTCTATCAATATTCTACAAATAGTATTGATTACAGTTGAATATGTTAACATACAAGAACTTGTTAGTTTATTTTGCTTAATTCGGTTAATGAAATGCATTTTCTGGACATACAGTATGAAACAATATTGATTAAAGTGTATATTTTAGAATTTTGGGTCCTCATTGCTCTTCAACTTTGTACTTTATTTGGCCTTTTTAACTTTTATGTTTCGAGCGTCACTGATGAGTCTTTTGTAGCCGAAACGTGCGTCTGGCGTATAAAATTTCAATCCTGGTATCTATGATGAGTTTATTTATACAACACAGATAATTTAGCCTCACATGGGACAGCAACACAATATCCTCTTAATCCAAAAAAACCTGCAAGTTTGTCCGTTGATGGAAATCGGACAAATGGTATTTGTTCCAGGACAACAGGACCAGGTTCTTACTTACAGGTCGACACTGGCTCAATGAGTGTAGTAACTACAGTTTATCTAACCTTTGGTGGTAAGTATTAATCAGCCGTTGAATATGTTAAGTAGCCACTATGTACATTGTAACTCCTGGTCACGCTTTTGAATAACAAACTACGACATTGTTTACATTCTTCCGGGTTTACTAATTTATTTCAAGTGATACGTTTTGGGGTGTAAAAGAGCATTTAATGAATGATTGACTAAAATAAACTAAGGTAAGTTAAACGCTGACCTAAATTGGTTTCATGTTCCTTATTAATTTTTAGTTGTCTGAATCTTCGCATTGTGGGTAACGGATAAAAGCAGACGGCCCGTGCCCTATCGAACTACCCGATGTCACTCGTTTAGAGTTAATGCATACGATGCTCTCAAGTTTTTTTTCTCTTGTTTTTTTTTTTTTTTTTTTTGTTACACGATTTGCGAGTGTTGATCGTCTGTTTCCATACATTCTGTACAGGCTAGTCTTGGTTTACATGTTCACAAAAATTATATATCAATTTTGGCATCCTACGTGTTTTTTCGGCGATGTTTCATGATGTGGTGTTGTCAAAAGTAAAGTCGGTATTGCGATACAAATCAAAATTGTTAATATAACGCTTAGTAAATTCAACAGAAATGGAAACTCCGTGAAACAAATCTTAATGTAGTCTGTTTTTTCTCTACTTAGTTAATGTTGTCTGACTTTGATGTATCCTGAGTACCATTTAAATTTACTATGGGGATGATATGGTTTAGAATTCTTTAGCAATACGTTAGGTAAAAGGACAAAATCATGGACGGAAGCCTCCATTGTATCGAAAAGGCGAAAAAAACCGCTGTATGATTTTAAAGTCTATCTATAAACAAATACAATTGTACATGTTAAAAAAGAAAGAAATTATAAGAAAAGGACAACATCGTGGTCGGAAATTCCCCTTGCAGGAAAATATTGACTGCAAATTTTTAACTTTTAACTAAAATACAGAGACCAGTCAGATATTTTACATTGATTGCTAATGATAATTTATCATTGACTGAAATAGTATAAATCAAATTTGCCAAAATAAAAAGTCAAAATTATGGCAAGAAGTCTGTCGTGTGTAGAACTAATTCAAACTGAAAAAAAATCCGTAAATACAGAACCTGGTCAAAATTTGTATTATGATTTCTTAAGACAGTTTATTTATCAATATAAATTTTAATTTTAATTTTGAAAAAGAGGAAACAAAAAGTAAAACAAACACGCATATGGAAGTCTTTTTTAAATTGATTATAATAGTAATTGGTGTAATTTCTTTTTGTTTTTTGATAATATGATTATTTTCGAGTCAATACCCCAAGTCGGATAACCCAAGTCGTCCCACTTTTAGACCTTCTCCGCGATTTATTCTTTTAAAGAAAAAATCCAATGTGGACCAAACGCTTTACTGCATATTCACATTGCTTAAAATAAAAATGCTTAGATGTTTGGTTATCATATTTGCTAGCTTTACTCATCAACTTATTTTTGACAATTTTAAACGGCAAACAGATTTATGATAGCAAAGCAATATCTAATTTTTTTTTATTACAGATATACCGGTAACAACGGGTGAAAATGTAGTATACTGTTCCAATACCAGTGATTCCTGGGTTGATGGCATTATGTTATATACGGGTGAACGTCCGACTAAGAATATTAATGTATTTGCCGTTTGTAGATATATTACGTATGTACCACCTGCAGCCAGTGGAGTTGATGTGTGTGAATTTGAAATTGGCGGTAAATGTGCAGTTTGTTATTTTTGTTAAATATTCTACTTCATAGTGCAGTTGTTGAATTGTACACAAACAAATAACTAGACCTTAATAATCCGTGATATTGCAGACTACTACTTTGATTCTCTTACACGTCTCTTTAAAAGGCCACGCAAAACCTTATTTGAAGAATGTTTAAAGAGGACATACACTTAAGAACAGTTAAGACCGTTTTAAAAGCTTTTTAAGCCTAAAATATATCTTTAAAGGATGAATAAATTATTTGCAAATAAAATTCAGTACAGTAAGCTATGTAGATTGTTTCTTCAAATATAATTGTTTATTAATTTCAATTATTTATGTGATCTTTAGGGTGTCCTCTAGGAAGATATGGAGACAACTGTGAAAATTATTGCCACTGCAACGGACCATGTGATTTAATTACAGGAAATTGTACATCTGGATGTTTGGATGGATGGGTTGGTTATAAATGTGACATTGGTAAATATATTTGTGTCATTGTAAAATCGTCATGCATTTTTTAAATTTTAACCTATTATCACGTATTGGAACTTAATGTTATCGTTTTTTTCACATGTTTATGGACTTATTAAGGAATACCAGGATTACATTTTTCCACGCCAGACGCGCGTTTCGTCTACAAAAGAAATTGTAGTATTTGATGACTAAGAAACAGATTAACTTTAACTTTCAAAACAAACTCATTTTCGACTTGAAAAAACAAATGTAAATCGAATATAAGAAGGCAATATAGCTACACTATTTTTGAAGACAGATTTGTCGAATTCGTACAGTATTTACAATAAAAAGATATGAAAGATATATTTTAGGTATAAAATAGGACTTAACCCCCAGTCTTTGACGCAATGGGTCCTAATGACATGTCAACCAAATTGTAATGAAATTTTGCACTTATGTTATGCTAATTAACAGAAAAAAAATTCTAACTTTAAAATTGGATTTTAGGCTATTTTTAGATTTTGCAGCGCCATCTACTGGAAAATGCTTAATTTCCCAAAATTTCTACAAACAAAAGCATTTTTTGGATACTTTCTAAAAAGATCAACAAAAAGACATGAAATCTTATAATTTTTTTAATGTTTTAAATATTTCTATAAAGGTTTACATGGGTGCTATAAGTTTTAATTTTTTTTAGCTGGGGTCAATTACACCGTTACCATGACAACTGAATAAACATTTTCTAATGTTCACTAATTTTCCACAATAATCCATGTATTTAATGATGAAAACTTATTTATCTTTTGACACTGGCTTATGATATTTGGCATGAAGGTGTATTACAGTAAGATAGTGTATCTCATAAAAATGACCTTGACTTTTATTTATTTCTTTCATAATGTTGTTTGAGCACATAAAGTTTCAATCAAATCTAATGACCCCCTTGTGGACTGACTCAGGGGCGTAGCTGCCGTTAGCCACTTTAGGCACGTGCCTAAACATAATTTTTTCACAAATACTTTTTTTTATTAAAAAAGATAATAAACAATGTTATCTGAAGATGCAAACTCTTTAATTATTTCATGTCATTTGTACACTAGTCTATCATCCTTAGTGAATCAGTGGAGTATTGGAACTGTATGTCATTATATTCCACCTTATATAGAATCTATAAACTAGAACTTTAATTGGTTCAGATCATTTCACTTCTATCAACAAATACTTGAATGAACCTCAACTTAGATAAATGATTTTTGTTTAATTAGTTGTTGCTGGCCCAAGTTTAATCCAATGCCTAGTGTAGAGAGAATCTCACGCTCTCTGCACGTTAAGAAACTTGCTACAACTCTTTGAGGGGTTCGTAGGTCGTCTACTGAAAGGCAAATGTCTGTTCCTATCCAACAAACCCTTATTTTCCAATGCATGGCATTTCCAAATTTACAGATCTTCATCCTGGAAGACCCCTATTTGTTTTAGTCCTGAAGATGCATGAACTATTTGCCACTGGACGATTAGCAATCAACCAATCAATCAACTAGCTTTCAGTACCTTCGAGTACTCCCAGATCTACGTGTAATGACAATAATTATTCAAATTCCTAAGCAGGTAGGGATTTTACAGTACAGGATATAAGGAAATATGCATTTCTTGAATTTTGTTAGATAGTATGAACAGAACAGAACTTCTGCATGACGTATCGACTCTGTGTGTGTATGTGTTTGTGTGGCCGGGGGAGGGTGAAGGTTTAAGAATCTTATACAGTGTACATGCAACATCTATAACATGGAAAAGAGTGTTTGAATATTAATTTCAACAACCCCTTTTGCAGGCTACATCACCAATAAATTGTGTACAATTTTATACAAAAACATTGCCCTTTTGCAACAATTTAACATTTTTTTCTTACAGGTATCTATAGTATTGAATTATCATAAAACAGTCTGATCTTGTAAATTTCTTGAATACACTAATATTGCTTTTCAGTAAACATGATGTGTCTGCACTACTAAATTGAACACAGGATGCAAAGTGTTCGTTTAAAAAAAAAATATTACAGGATTTTTGTATTGCTTAACTCTAACACAGAGTTTCGAAACCTACAATAAATCAATCATATTTCTTTTTCACAGCTTGTGCTAGTGGAAACTTCGGAAGTGGATGTAGTAGACCTTGTTCCGCAAACTGCTTAAATCCGCCATGTAATCATGTATCAGGTGAATGTACTGGAGGTTGTAATAAAGGATGGGAGGAATATAACTGTACAAAAGGTTTGTTTTATTCATGTGTTATTGGCTTGATACGTATTATATATAATCGTTTCCTTTTAATTTCCAGTATAGCAGAGTGCTACTAAAAGACATCCGAACAAAAAGGGATGTTTACATTTTAACAGGAATTTTAACAGCTCTTTTCGTGAGGAGGTCTTTTAATGTCAATATTAACTTATCATTTAATTTGTACTGACTTACAAATCGTTAAAAATTTAGGAACAGCACAGAAAAGGCACTTACATAAGCCTTACCTCCTAGAATGGACGAGTCTAAATAGGATTCAACTTACATAATAGATAAAAAGTACTCAAGACTCACTTGAAGACTGGTATATACATATAACAGTTACTTGATTGCAACGAAAACGGACCGATGCAATGACAGTTACATAATTTAATCACTAAATTATTTAACATTTTTTTTTGGCTCCAAATAAACACCATGGGGTGGTTTTATAAAAGTAACAGGGAAAATACATATTTTTTAATCTTCAAATTTTTAGAATAACCATTCTTAATTTCTTCAAAACCCTTTACTTACCTCATTCATAACTGACCAATGAATATTTTGTACAAAAAATTTTTGTTATATATATTTGGCATTTGTTTATCTGTCAGTTATAAGGAAATAGATTCTTAAAGAATATATAACGAGAAAACAGTAAGTAAGCAATTTTTTTTAAGCAGCTTGTTTTACAGCTTCCTACCAAACAATTCGAGATGCATAAGATTCATCAGTATATTCATGTAAATGTTCGTTTAATTATGTCATTTACCTAAGCTACGTGATATGCAAATGCAAAATGATTACAGTGTTCTCTGTCAAATTGATTTATAAATTATTTGTTTTAATAACAACAAAAAAATGCCTGTAAACTTCAATGAATAAAATTGAACGACAAAATTATTTTATTTATTAATATTACTTTTACTGTTAAGTCTGTTTTTTGTGATATACATTTGACGTGACTCTTTACTTATTTATCCCGTCATACTTTGAACCACACAATTATTTTATCTATTAATATTACTTTTACTGTTAAGTCTGTTTTTTTGTGATATCCGTTTTACGTGACTCTGTATTTATGTGTCTCGTCATACTTTGAACGACAAAATTATTTACTGTCTACCTGTGCGAATTTCAAACGCGCGATTTTACGCCAGTACTTAAAACCTTCCATCCTTTATGGGTGGATTTTACATAGATATATAAAATCGTATAATATAAGCAAAATGAGGATGTTAAATTTGATGTATGCCCGTTTGTGCTTCATCGTTACATTTGTTTGTTTTTATAGTGATTAAGATGATAACACAATGTTGACTGCTGTACCCCTATTTTTTGACATTTTTACCTATTGTGTCTGTTTGTTTTGTTCACGCATCGTTGTCAATATAATGGAATTTGATGCGACTGTCATACTGGGTGGATTTTACATAGATATATAAAATCGTATAATATAAGCAAAATGAGGATGTTAAATTTGATGTATGCCCGTTTGTGCTTCTTCGTTACATTTGTTTGTTTTTATAGTGATTAAGATGATAACACAATGTTGACTGCTGTACCCCTATTTTTTGACATTTTTACCTATTGTGTCTGTTTGTTTTGTTCACGCATCGTTGTCAATATAATGGAATTTGATGCGACTGTCATACTGTGAGAGGTTTAGCTAGCTATAAAACCAGGTTCAATCCACCATTTTCTACATAAGAAAATGCCTGTACCAAGTCAGGAATATGACAGTTGTTATCCATTCGTTTGATGTGTTTGAACTTTTGATTTTGCCATTTGATTGGGGACTTTCCTTTTTGAATTTTCCTCGGAGTTCAGTTTTTTTGTGATTTTACTTTTTATTGTATATAAACAGATTAAATGCAACATCTTCAGGATCAAGTAATGTAGTTTTGAGTGGCTCGCTTGTTCAAAATTGAGCATCATTCTTAGATTCAATAAACTACGTGCAAACAAAAACTTTGGGTTTAATTATCCGTAGTTCACTTTCCACGTCTTAATTTAGCAAACACCCTTGAATTTTAATACAGGCATCTGTTCATTATAAAAAGTCTGTATGTTGACTCTAGATGTCTTGATTGTTCTGTAATGTTGGTTTGCTGTCTTATCAAAGTATAACTCACATCTTTTTTTCAAATCCCAAGAGTTGACTTCTCCCGGACAACCGTAAACCCTTGCTAAAGAAGGGCATCCTTTTGGATGTGCGGGATGTATAAATACGCAGACACGTTCGATGGAAATTTGGACGTTAAATCCGGTGCTTCGTGTAGCGAGAGTGTCACGTTCTCGTCTAGTAAAAGAACCATTGAAGCAACTCTTTTATGGGGTCCTTAAGGGCCCCGTTTTAGGTAAAATGTCTACCTCTTTCCAACATTTCATTTTTTCCAATTGGCATCGATGCAAATTTACCGATCTTCATTCGTGTTGTCCCAACTTCCAGAACCTGCCTAGTTTATTAGACTGGTTCCCTGTCCTTTATCTGTTTGGCTCTGACAACAAAGGTACAGTCTGAGATACCCGTATGTTGCAAGGGAGAGGACCAGCCTACCTAGTTTATCTGATTGTAAATAGTTTCTTGCCCTGAATATGTTTGAAATAATTGCCATTGAACGTTAATTATTCAATTCTGGTCGATTTTTCAATTGTATCAATTGTCAGTTTGCGTTGGTCCTTAATATGCATGTAACATTTGTCTGTGGACGTCAATCAATCAACCAATCTATTTATTAAAATATCGATTTAACACACTAAGTACTGCAACATAGAGGTCAAAGTGAGTACTGTTTCCTCATTTGAATGAGGATGTTTTTCATCGATCTCTTTGATATTTCGTCTGTACACTTGTTTATCATTTTTCTTTTCAATGAAACTTTGGTATCATCAATGCGTTGGGATGAGCTCGCCTAAGAAAAAATGCAATGGCGGGCCAATTTAAGAAAGGTTTGTTTCAATAGGGAAGGGTTATCGACTCCTTTTAGTAGTTATTGTAATTAAGTATATCTGAATATATAATATGTAAACTGTAAACTTCAATAGGTAAAGACAAAATTTTAAGTAAATCACACGACTGAAATGGTCAGTCGCCTTCAATGACGATTTTAACCCATTTCATGCATTTTCGGCTATGACATTTTATGACGAAAATAAAAAAAAAACAAAACAAAAAAAAAAAAACCACAAAACACCAAAAACAGCAAGACAAGATCTACTTATTATTAAACGGCCGAAATCGTCATTTGATTCCTTATAGAAATTATTGCCCTTAAAGGAAACTTTTTAGCCGTGTTTGTCTCATGAAAATGGAAGAGATAAGGAGAATCTTGAAACAGCAAATACAAAAATGTACTGGTATGATTACCTAGACAATATCTGCAAATGAGTCAACATGACTGTGATCGTAATTTATTTGGCTAAAGCCATTGCCCCAACATTGACGTTTTATTTTCAGTTCTACTCCTTATCCTAGTTTGGATACAATGTATTCTTACAGTACTTTTTTAAATGGAGGTCAAGGTAAACGTCATCGGTAGTTCTGCAATAATCCTATTGGTCACTTTTAACAGATACTGAGGTCAATTAACGGGCTTCGATGATAGTTACATTGTAAGTGTCAATATGCATATTCCAAATGAGTACGTAGATTTGTAAATGAATTAAACAGTGATGTTGTATAAAACAAACTTTCTAGATTGTTAAGGCATCTACCAAGCGTATCGAGTCATATGTAAGATTGTAGACTACGTCATCTACAAAATGCAAATGGAAAGACAAATGAGTAAGGAAAAGCTAATGTTAACTTTCACTAGCAGAATGAAATGATACGTCTTGAAGATCTTCTTGTTTAACGATTTAAGTATGACACCATTGAGCTTCAAATACTGGATAATAAAGCAGTTCCATTTTCTGTCGCTTGACGCTTTTTAACCCTTCGACATTTGTATGTTAGCATTTATACAATTGAAAATCCGAAACAAGTTGTATGTTATATTTAACGGAATCAGAAACCTTCCATTTCAGATTAAACTAAATCGATCGTTTAAATATTAAGTTGCACACATTTTAGAAGCCTTCTTAAAAGAGGAAATCGTTTTGAGTCAGTTAACCACTAAAGACTAAAATCAACATAAGTCAATAAATGAAACTGAATAAATGATTGCTCCTTAGATGTCCGGTTGCAAATGCTTCATGCATATTTAGGACAAAATGCAAAGTGGTTTGACCCAGAATAATGCAGAACAAACGTTGAAAAACTTAATTTAAAAAGACACTTGAATAAAATCGTACATTGGAAAGAGGCTAAAAAATATGCCTTACAAGAATAAGGTCGAACTTAAACTGTATTGTAAGGTCAGCTATTTATTTCCCTCCCCCGATTTTCTCAATGCAAAAAAAACAAAAAACAAAAACAAAAACAAAAAACACAAAACACAAAAAACAAAAACAATTTTAAAGGCAATGACGGCTATCTACACATGTAAGTAAATAGTTTTGTACTGATTGTGTATATTATTTTCTACGGGTTTCAGACAGGTTTAAATTTTCACTCTTATATCGTTTGATTTTAAATTAGAAATATCAATCAAATACACCTTTACTTTTGGGAATTGGAATTGTAAATGATTGTATTTTGCTTGCCTTTTTTCAATCCCATTTTGGCTCCCCTGATTCTGAGTGGGCGTGTCTTATTAGTCATGCCCGATGCATTTTCAGTAATTTGAACCTCAACTTAAAGACCTACACCGGGTAAATAATTTCGAGGTACACTAAGTAAACAGAAGAGATCCTTTATGAAATGAGATCGTCCCAGCTAGGTCTCTTAGATATACTTATTTTGCGTTGAATATAACAATGGAAACTACACGTAAGATTTGTGAATTTATTAAAAGACGCACTATTCTAAAGATAAGTTACAAATGCTAATTTTTGATTTTAGCATTACGAAACGCAAATTTCACAATTTATTTATGTTATTTTGTTCTAACTGGAACCTTCGAGACTGCCTGCAGCAATGCGATACTTTTTTTTCCAAATAAACAATATTTTTGTTTTTGTTCTTATCTCATTCTTTTTGCCTTTTATTTGTATATTATATCTTTGTTTTTCTTCCCTCTGATGTTTAAATGTAGAATGTGACGATGGATATTTTGGTACGAACTGTTCGCAAACCTGTTTCGGATGCATATCAAACACATGTGATAAAATTAACGGCGAGTGCAGTAATTCGAGTGGATGTAAACCAGGTTATGTAAAAGGACAATATTGCAATCAGGGTATGTATTATCTGCAGTCAGATAATTGAACATCACTTGGGATAGAGGAAAATATTGTTAAATTAACATTATGTAGCTTTAAACAAATCAATGAATGAGCAATGTTTTTTTTAAATTAATAAATCATTTTATTCAAATTTTTCCTGTTATGCAATACCCCTAAGCATGCCAGGAAAGCAAACTTTTGGAGCCCTGTTTTATTACATTCTGCATTTGTCCAAGGGAACAAATGGCATTTCAACGATAACAGAATTCATAAAATTACAAATTAAATTATGCTTATTTCACCCTTTTCAAACACATTTAGATGACAAAGATACTTAATCATTTTATCCAGTTTGAATACCTTGTGCTACGCTTACCAACGCAATCGTACACCACAACAAATCAATATAAGCAAGCAACTCGTTCAATGGATTACTAGCTCGTGCACTTGTATTAAAGTAAAAAATGTTTTTCTAATCTTATTAATTCTAAATGTTTGATTTTAATGTTTAATCTTAAATAATGGTTTTGCAACAAAAAGGACGATAATTATAATTATCGCTACTGTGGAATACAACCTTAATGATGTAATGCACAGAGGCTACACACGTTGTCACATTCACAAATGAACACATAGATTCTTACCTAACATCCGATTGATTCTGAAATAAATCCCTTTCAAGAAAGTAACGACAGAAGATCATATACTAGTACCGAAAAGCAGTGGCAATCTAAAACTCCAAATCGACGTAGAAAAATGACACCATGACTAAACGAAATAAGTCACACACAAATAAATACAAAAAAAACAAAAAAACAAATGGTTTTACAAAAAAAATTATTTAAAGATTGAGTAGCAGAAACCCTAACAAAAAACCTGGAAGGAAATCTCTAATGATTAAATGGAAATAGCCAAGTATTATTCCAAAATATTTAGTGCCAAATCAGACGCGACAACATAACCAAACTACTAATAAACATATATTGTATGATTGTATGTTTTTGCGATTTTTGGAGGGGATGCGAGGATGGGGTATGTAGTAAAAGGAAGAACAACTCTAATCTGTCAACACATAAACAATATATCCTATTTTCCTTTATAACATAAGATTATCTTATTTCTATAGAATGCGAAGATTGGCAATTTGGGATAGACTGTGCAAAGGTATGTTACTGTCGCACTAAACCTTGCAACAAATTCGATGGTCTTTGTTCTGATGGAGAATGTAAAAAAGGATGGCATGGCAAATCATGCGATAAAGGTAAGATATAATTTCCTTTTTCTGGACGAATACAACACAGAAACAGTGCGGCAAATCTTTCTACTTCGAAACAACTTTTCTTCAAGAAATGCGTTGTCTGTTAGTTTCATATCATTTTAATGAATTTTTTGGCAACCAATTCTGTATTATGTATTTACATAAATATTTTCCAAACGTTACGTGAACTTTCCTTCAAAAACATTTATAATTTCAATAAATTACATCGTCACATAAGTCACTTCAGCGTCACATAAGTCATAAATGCCCCGACATGAAAAAAAATGAAACAATTCAATTGAGAAAAACTAACGGACTAATTTATTACAAAACACTTTACGAAAAACAAATACGACAGACATGAACCAACGACACCGAACTACAGTCTCCTGACATGGAACAGACACTTAAAGAATGTGGCGGGGTTTAACATGTTTGTGAGCGCTCAACCCTCCCTTAACGTGAGAAAGGGTTGTTACACAACATAAGAACAAACTATAAAAATCAGTTGAAAATGGCTTTACTCATCAGATCGATACAAAGCAGAAAAACATCTAACAAAAACACAGACCGAACATGGCGGGGTATTTATACATCCCTAACAACAAAAAACACAAAGCACAAATCTGAGAGTACTCGCAGTTACTAACAGCTAGTTCAAAGCCAATAACAACTAATAAAAGAAATCATGTATCTAAGACAAATATATCAATCAGTACACATCCAACATCCAATGGATTTAGTTTGACGTCATTTACTGTCAGAGAAAAACATGACTTTGTGCAATACCAAAATATAAGTATCGACAGATTGTAGTACCGTAAAACTGCATATGTGTATAATAATACTATTTTGTATGGTTTTAGTTTACTGATAACAGAATCAATATTTATACCAATAAAAACAATATTCAAAGATCTAAGTATAGTGTTGAATTGGTAACCTTTTAGAACGAGTTTACTTAAATGATTGATAAGTTTACAGTTATCGTATATGAATTTCCAGGCTCGGTAAACAACATCGCCGTAAAATTAGGGATGTGCTAATCCATCTGAAATAAGTTTTTGCAGGTACAGCCAAACTTGCAAATCAAATCGTTGTATCTGTGGAAGAATTTATTAAAGGTTTAAAGTAATTTGTGTTAACGAAATCCCTGAATTAGTAATTTACAAGTAATACACAGATTACGCTCATTGAAATCCAAAACGTCACTACAGACAAGGGCATAGCGAACGAGTTGGGATAGATAAACACCGTAAGACGGTGCCAAAGAAAAACCACCGTCCATCAAAGGACAATTAACAATAGGTAAAGAAAAATCATCCCTTTTGTCGTCGCTTTTTTGTGTAGAGTTTCTGGTGTAAAACTGAAATGTCTAAATCTAGAAAAGGACACTTATTGCTGTTAATATTTGATTTATTTAAGGTAAGTTCCTTTAGGTAAATTTCGGCAATATATTTAGAGAATTCTTGATTATTTAACGAAAAAATATCATCAAGATAACTGAAAGTGTTGCCGAATTTATCAAATAAACGGAATTTAGACGGGTTTTTACTTAGTTTGGCCATATAATGTGATTCATAACAGTTCAGGAACAAGTCTGATATTAAAGGGACAGTTTATGCCCATAGGAATACCTACAATTTGTCGATAAACTTTAAAGCCGAAACGTACATAATTGCTGTCAAGGAGAAACTTTATGGCTTTAATCATCTCATCACACCACCAGACAGTATATCAAGCATATTTACCTTTCTCATTTAAGAAAAGGCTTTATATGAGTTAAAGCAAATAAATTTGCAATCAGATTTGTCAAACGATCATTAAATCAAATAGGAAAACTTTTTGATAAGACTATGTGGAAGTGTAGTATAAAGATTGGAAAAGTCAAAACGGTCAACCGATTCAAAAGGTCCATCAAAAGCACGTGATTTATCTAAAACACCCAAAGAATTGTTTTCCACAATTTCATATGTTTATTACAAAAATAATGATAAGTTCTTTGATAATAGTTAAGAAACTCGTTAAAAGCACTGACAGATTAGTAGTAAAACACCAAGACCGAGGTGAAACGATATTTTACGTTTTTTTTTTATGTAGTTTAGTTAACCAATACATACTGGGGACCTTCCATTGTTGAAAGGAGGCCTTAAGCTGAGCTGTGGTAGTGGTGGTAGTGACATGATTATTAACTATAAAATGACTGAGCAGCACACTTCCTACAAAAATGTAGGTGATCTCATGCACTCGTGTCTGGTAACCAGATTCGTCTACGCATGTCGTACCCGTCGTATTACTTCTATACAATACGTTTATAGATTATATTATAATAGGAATCGAAAATTGAACAGAAGTGTTTTATTCAATTTTAGAAATTTATGTTGTTTTTTTTATTCCAATTCTATTTCAACATTCTGGCCTCCAGATTGCAATTGCATATAAATCAAGACAATTGTATGAGATACGTAAAAGATTTTGACAACTGACATGACAGTGGTATATTATGCTTCCGAAATGTTTCCAGTTCAAATGCGTCTATACATTTAAGCAATGTTAAAATGACAATGATCTTTATATATTCCATAACTACTGCTCGTTAACTTAGTTTCGTGTGTCTACTTTTTTTTAATATTAAGTACCTTACTGTTTCTCTATTTTTATGATAACTGAACACAATCACAAATCACGTTTTAATAAGATAAACTTGTTTTATGAAATCAATGCTGATGTGTATTGTTGGTCTAATATATATGTTTAAACATTGGGCATCAATTGAGTGGTGTACTTTTAAGGATATAAGTATAGGTCATGTTAGTTTTCGATTGAGGTCCGTCTTAAAAGTCTACGAATCTATGCAATTTTTGTAAACATAATCCTGCCATATTTTTCTCATTTAATTTATTACCGAATGCAACTTTATCATAGGAATCGTGTTCTTGTTATGAGAGTAGGGACGAGTGAAACTATTGTGTGTCCTTTCAGAGCAGCCGACTTCAGTCCATGCAGTTGTATGGTTTATGTTGCTTTTTCACTAGTTTCCTGCGTTGATTGTTGTGATCTTTTATTTTTCATTGTCTGTGTAATTTCCATCGATCAAAGTCTATATTCTCTATCCTGAAAACTAATCGCATTTATATCGAGCTTCTGGTAATTTCACATGGAAGAAAACTTAAAAGTACTGATATTTTATGCATCTGGGCATATAAATTGAATCTTCTTTGTTATAAAACCTACAAAATATAACCAAAAATTATTATAAATTGCATGTCAAGATACGAATTGCGACGAGTATCACTTGTCAAATAGGAATGCATTGTCATGAACGAGCACTTGAATACAACGCATGTTACTAATGGTACACGGGTTATTCAATTTTTAAGAATGACACAAAATCTTCAAACCCACCAAAAAAAAATCTTAATTTGAGAGATAGATTAAAGTTTTTGTTAACGTTTTGAGTTATTTAAAGAACCGAGTCCTTGCTTTAAATCCCTTAAGTTTGTTCAACATTGATTGCCGGGTTTAAAATTCAAAGTTAAACATGACTTAACGACGTTGGCAATGACAACTAATATTATACTTCTTGTTCGAGTTAAAATTATAGTGATGATATGAGTTCAAGTAGAAGGTTGTATAAAACTGTTAAGTTACAATGTACATTAAATTGCTACATTAATCTACATCAGAAATTATCGATCTCCAACTTTCCGTTCAACACAGCTTAAAACAGACTTGCATTTGCTTCATGTGACTGCAAGCATGCTTTGCTCGACATAATGTTTTTTTTTTGCATTATCGTTTTGTCAAATTTTGATAGTCTCAGTTACGACATTTCTTTAATTTGAGTGTTCTAATTCTGAATAATTTTCAATGAAAAATACTCATTTTCGATTTTCCGTAATTATGTAGTATCTAAAGATAATGCAAAACACACTTAATCATTCGATTGATTATATGCACTCAACATCATTTCAAATCCAAATCCTTGGAAGAGTGTCATAAATAAAGGCAACTGTAGTAAACCGCTGTTCAATAGTCATAATTCGATTAAGCAAAAACAAATCCGAATCACAAACCAAATCAGAGGGAAACACATCAAGTATAAGAGGAAAACAACGGAACAAACATAAACACTGAACTGTTACAAAAACAAACGCCAACATACATAGAAACGGACTATTTGATTACAACTCCCATATTCCTGATTTGGTACAGGACATTTTAAGAAAAAATGGTGGGTTGCACCTGGTTTCGTGGCTAGCCAAACATAGTCATAACAGTTTATATCAGAAATGGGGTAATCATAATCTGTAATCGTAATGGATTGTAATTGATTACATTTTTTCCAGTAACCGACAGTAATCTGTAATAGAAAACATTTTCGATTACATGCAATCGTAATTGAATCGATTACAGCAAAAATTATGATGTAATTATCGATTACTTTTCGATTACATTTCGATTACTTTAGTAAAATAGTTTGATGAAACATAACCTATTTTAAATGAAAATATGTATGTATCCATCACTTTATAGTACAGATAAAACAGAATGTATTTATACGACTTAAGAGTTTATCAAATGCCTTATTTCTATCTATTTTTGCAAGCTGCATTATGATCAAAAAGATCTCCTACCAAATTTTATTGTATATCCTGGTTTTGAAAACAAATGACTGAGTTAGACTTTTATCTTAGAATAGATAAACAGTTATTTCGTCATAATGTTATGATATAAAAATCAAGAAAGTAAACAAAATTCTTTTGACAACGAACTAATGGCTATGCATTGAAATCCTTGTTCATAAATAGATACATGTATCCCATTTTGACCCTTAACATATATATTGTTTATAATTTTGAATAGAGAATAAAAAGTTCTCAGCAAACGTCTTGTCTTTACTAACGAGATGATCAAAGACTTCTAATCAATAAGATGCAGACTTTGATTTTGATTTCATTTATGTCTTATTCAGTAGGAGATTTACATTAGATTGCCCCAGGTTATAAGTTGTACTCCATTTGCAGTTTTACAAACTATAAATACTGAGTTATCCAAACAAAAGGATTTATTCATCAATGCAATTTTAAATCATAAATTTCCATTTAAAAAATTAACTGAACTAATTACTTACTCTACTTTTTATATATTTTTGTTTTCTAGAGGAAACTTCCAACATTGAAATGAATTATATTCAAAAATACTTGTTAATAATGAGTAAAAAAACTAGCTTAAGTCAGAATAGCAGCAAAATATGGAGAAAATCGAGCGCACTACATTTGCGCGCATTTGGGAATTACATTTTTTTTACGTTTGCCCGCAGCTTTTGATTACATTTACAGGTAACACAGGTAAAAAAAAAACATAATTAGTATGACTATAGTTGTTCTGAATTATGAACATAATTGTACATTTAAATTATATATTTTTCATATTAAATTCTAAAAAGATATAAAGTGATCATGAGAAATCATCTCATACCACATCTTCCTATATCTATATAAGACATATATGTAACTTAATTGCAAATATTTCAAAGTAAATAGTATTCTGTTTCCTTGTTTTTACCGAATAGTGAAAACTTTAGTATTATTTAAGTGAGTTTTAAAAATTGCTCCAAGGCATAAACACGGAGTTTCGTTTGTCAGAAACAAGTCGTAGGAGAATATCATTAGTGTATGATGGATTTACTTTTCGTATCGACAGAACACTGAGGTCAGAGAATATTTCATGGCGATGCACCATAAATAATTGCAAAGGTATTTCAGCAGATTCCCTTTTTACTCACTTCAATGAGCAATTCTATTCAGCACAACCATGTACTTATAGTATTTTTGTGTTTTGTGTTTTCTTAAAGAATTGGGCTTCCAATATGCAGAGCGTTACGACATGTTAAATCAGAACTTTTAATCTTTAGATTTGTTATGGTTTTTACATTTTTATCTGTATATATTTCCAGGACTAAGTGCTTGTTCATAATAAAATGGACTTATCCTTCTCGAAAATAAATAAGTTTAAGCTACCTGCATTTACCAGAGTTTATCTGTAAACCAATGCGCGCAAATGTAATCAAAAGCTGCGTGCAAAGGTAATGATTTTTGCGCGCAAATTTAATGCGTCGAGAAAATCATCTTTAATATAAAAAAAATGATTGATACATTTATCACCACTTAATCATGTTGAAAATCAAAATTTCAAGAATTTTTTGATGGTTCGATCCTCAAATAGAGCTTCCATCCAGAAAACAACTGTCAACAAAAAAATTGGAAACAATGCTTTAAATGCTGTTTTTTTTTTGTAAAGTTCTTAATTTCCACTTTACGTACGTTGATCAACATAATTGTGTTTATTATAAGTTACTTTATTTTTTTTGGTAGTTTTGCAGCATGTAATTGACAGTAATCGAAAAGTAATGTAATCACTTTCGATAAAGTAATCGATTGCAATCGATTACATACAAAAATCAGAGTAATCGATTCGTAATTGATTACACAAAAATCCTTCAAGTAATCGAGTATTAATCGATTACATTTGTCAGTAACTCGTGCCCATCCCTATTTTATAAGGCCTTTCAAATATCAACATGAAGTATTGTAATGCATCTTTTCGAATGTATGATCCATTGGTGATTTGTGTACCTTAAATTGGAAACTCTTTCAGAATGTGACGATGGCTTCTATGGTTTTAATTGCCTAATGGAGTGTACAACATGCCTCAACAAGTCATGTGAAATACTTGAAGGAAATTGTTCATATGGATGTATTGACAGATACGAAGGAGTTAAGTGCAAAGGTATATTTAACTTAACAATACACGCTCATGAGATTGGATGCTACCTTCATTGGTGTTCTGTGTCTCAATATTCGTGTTAATGCATGTGTGTTTACTTTAACTAGTATGTAATGTATACAGTTATGCTGTACTTGGCTTATTGTGACATTTCATTTTCTGGCGTCTGAATGTTTCATTTAAAGGAATACACATCACTGCTTTTAGTCTTTAGAAATGTAAACGCGATTTCCCTAACAATGTTTTTTTCCGAAATAATAACTAAATGTTTACTCTGTTCATAAACGCAATGTCCTATAAAGATATCTAAAAGAGTCTAAAGGAAGGGGACATTCTCAACTTATAAATCAAACAAAAACTGACAATGCAATTGCAAAACCAAAAAACGACGAAAAGGCGAACAAGCCCTCACAATACTTCATAGAAATCAACTGACAAAGCAACACGACTCAAGTCAACACCCAGGGTGAACGTTTTTGCTCCGGACGAGTTTGCAATTCCTGCTCTACATGTTGCATTTGTAGTGTTTATTATGCAAGTGCAAATCCGGTAATAAGTCTTGATGACACATCGAAGAAAGGAAGACAAGATGGTAGTTACGACAATTTGAAAATATCATTATTCATTTGTGACGCCTATATTCTAAAACGGGCAGCCAACTCGTAATGGTGTAAGTGAAACGTTCGAAAGAATGACTTCGACTTAACCACTTGGAACTCTTGTAAGCAGAAACCATTTATCGTGGAAATAATGAAGGGAACGCAATCTTTGGAAGAACGTATCAACTGGGAGATTTTTTTCTGTATATAGGTACTGCTAAATATGGAATATTTAACATGTAACTTTATGTTCCCACCTTTTCTTATCTGCATTTTTTCATTTCTACTGTATTTTTATATGCCAGTTTTTTATTTTTTAATTTGATATTACCCCGCAACCGTGTTCATCACTGCACCGATATTGAAGGATTAACATAGAAAAAACCTCAATCTAACCGGTGATAGCGACCGTTTTAAAGTTGCAGTGAGTTGAAAGTGTTTGCGCTCTCACCGATGATAACGACCGTCTTAAAGTTGCAGTCAGTTGAGAATGTTTGCGCTCTCACCGGTGATAGAAACTGTCTTAAAGTTGCAGTGAGTTGCGAGTATTTGCGGCGATCTCGCCGGTGATAGCGACCGTCTTAAAGTTGCAGTGAATTGAGAGTGTTTGCTTTATGTTGAATATTTCCTCTCGTTATGAACAACAATAAAAAAGATGCTACTTTGCTAATGGGTTTCCATACTCGTGTAGTGGTTTTATGTGATAATTTGATACACTATATTATTTCTTATCAACTATACAATTGAGAAATTTAATGAGTAAATATAGTATCATGCGTTATAAACACGATTATTTTTACCGATGAATTTGTCCGTGAAAATAAATTTTCTTGATATATTAAGGGAAAATATCATAACTGCTGTCCCCGATCGAGCCTTGCTAGGGATATGCCAATAGTCTTCGTCTGTTAGTCCGACTTTCCAATGCGCATGCATACCAAGATACAGTTTGACCATAAGCTGTGATACTTTCTAGGTTACTTTTCTGCACATTCTTTCAGACAATTTGTTAGAAAAGTTTCATACTGAATACGATTGTTTTTTGTGTGTAGTGGACCATACCTTGCCGAGATTTTAATATGACTTTTTTACGTGAGTCATTGAAGTTTTAACTAATCTTTAAAATATAGTTACACAATTACTATTTGTGATTGTAAGGAGCTTTCATACTAGGTAATCATTATGATGTGTAGCTGACTTTATTATACTAATGATTTAATTTGATATTGTCTGCGTAAGTTTTGAGTTTTTGGCTATTATCGGCCTGATGCAACCTACTCACAACTTGTGAATGTATAACATAATTACACAGCGAGTTCGGGCTACCATTGACACATTTGCTTTATTAAGCCTTTGATGTCTGAAGATTTGCAGCAAGTTTTTAAATATATATAAAGTGATTTGTCCCTTGTATGACTTGTCAGTCAGAACAAGTAAAAACAGGAAAAAGAGATCATAATAATAAGGTCCTATTTGAATATCATGTACCTAGCGATACATGGCAAGATTAAAGTACGGAGGTGTATCCTGTACAGTTATTTTAAACAAATATCCAATAATAACAACTATAATGATACTAGATTTAACGATAAAAGAAAACCTGTACAATTCATGCATGTATCGTAATAATAGCTATAGGGTAAGTAAACAATTCATGTATTTATCATAATCAGAGTTATAATGGGGAAAGAAAAATAAACACGTACGCTAATTATCGTTCTGATAATATAATATAATTGCCTTGATATATTAGAGGTAATGTCCCTTTTATATCTTTCGCCTCTCTTTTAGTGACAAAACAATACAGTAAACAAATGTCTGATTACAAAATCTGTCAATTAATGATTCTGCTTGATAACGCTAAAACATTTGTAAAAATCTGCCTAAAATGTACAAAGAAGGAGTTAAAATTCTTTTATCATCCAAGATAAGAACTCCTGATATTTTCAGTAGCTGCAGGGGTTATGTCCAACGGCAACAATTCAGGTGCAGCAGTAGGAGGAGGCATAGCGGCTACAATTGTTATCATAGCTTTAGTGGCAATAATAATTATTATATACAGGTAAGTTTACCTTCAAAATATTTAAGATTTTGGCCTTTCATCATGTGCGTTGATGTAAGCAAACATTAATTATGTATCGCTTGATTATATATTACCTTAAGCTGTGTCAAGTGATATGTGGAACAAAAACTTTACTTACTATTGAATTGAATTGAAGGCAATCGTTTGAAAATTGGTCAATCATCTATTATGTTAAATTAAACACGTGCAAGTATATGAAACTATTTTTCAAAAGAAACGCAACAGGTCAAAAATTCAGCTGTTCATATTTAATCATGATGTGTCAAGTAGTTTCCAATTGTATAAGAAAACCGTTTATCAATTAAAATTCACCTGTGACAAACATTTTTGTTCAAACGCTCTATGGTTCATCGTTATACATCCGGACGTCTCGCCCATTGGATACTGTGATGGACCAAGTGTTAGCCCATGGAAATATTTCTAAATGACGTATTGCGAAATTGAATGAAGGTGAACACTTACTAAAACGGTTGATATTGGATTTAAAGGTATGATAGTCCGGATGGGAGTAATGACAACGTAGTAATACAATGTCACCAATTTTCTCATTATTAAAATACAGTTTTTACTTGCAAGTCGTAATACTATCGTATAAAATATATCATCGGATTCATTAAAATTCAGCAATAATATCCCCAATCAACTGTTCATAGTACACTTAAGATTCTTTATAATTTTAATCAAGACAGTTTTAAAATTATTTTTTTATATTCCAATGCATTTTCTGGCTGCATTTCTGTCACTGCTTATATCCAAGCGGGTAAAAATGGCTGAATTTCTGTCACAGATTATATCCAAGTGGGTAAAAACGAGCACTATCTAATTCGTACCACTCCTTTTCTGGTCATCTTAAAAATATTAATTGTAACACAATTTAATTTTTTTAGAAGGTTGAGCACAGTACATTAATTTAACTTAATAATGAAAACTAACGAAAAAAACATCACTTAAAGATTTGTTCAAATTTAACCTTTTAAAATATCATCTCTTCGAAATGACGATAACGCTGTATTTAGATTACGTACAGGCAAAACGTTTGTTGCATTTAAAAAAAACATTAGAAAGTAGTGAACATTCGGTGGTGGACATAAGAATTGTTTAGATCTTTTATTGTTGCTAAGTGTTTACGATTTTATAAATATCATACGGCAGGGATGGACGGATGTTTTGGAAGGTGAAGGAAATCAAACCAAGGCAACTGTTATATTTTTGTCCGGGTTTATGTTTTATTTTCGACAGAAACGTATTACATAGTCGATTGCATTGACTATTTTTCTTAATGTTCAGAAGTAAATATCACAGTTATATGGGCTATATACATGAAGAAGTTAATGTTGAAATGTTTTAATAAGATTAAAAAGTAACTTTTCATTAAATTTAAAGCAATTAAAGACGGAACCATGAAATTTTCTAGTAATGCGGATGTTTATAAACTTTAATGCTCCGATAGGATGATGGAAAATAGTGAATAAAAAAATAAGTTTTCCCGGAATGTCATTTTAGACAGTATCAGGATCAGGATCAGGACTCATCTACAAAACGTTTGGCATGTACAATTTTGTGACATGAAACAAAATAAGTGTTCAACTTGATTCAATGGAAAATCAATAATCCTTGTTGAAAGTCTAAAAAATTGTACCGTCATTTCATGAAAAGGGAAAATTATTCAATGGATTTTTGTTTTGTTTTTTATTATTATTCGAATTCTTTCTTCAATTGATTCGTAGTACATTAGATAAAAATATGATTCTTTGAAACCAGCAAAGCCAAATCCATGTGCTGATTTGCATTAACCATGTTTGTCTTGTTTATGTTATTTAATCTGATGAAATGATTAGAGATATAGAATGATATCTTATTTCCGAAATCATTAATAATCGATCACGACCTTACTAGTTAAATTATATAGAACCCAGTGTTACATACATGTACATGGGAAATTACCCTACGTATACCAGATAGTTCTTCTTAGATTGTTCTTCATCCAGTATTTATTAATCAAACAAAAACACATCCAGCAAAAAATATACACACATGTTAGTTTTTTGTAAAAAAAAAACACAACTTAAAAACACAAATAAATATCCTTTCATTTCCACTACAAGAAAGACGTGCTTGTTATATGACTTTTAAAATAATTATTGATGAACTTTATTCTATGGTGTATATACTACCGTTCATCAAAATCCCATGTTGTGGGTACAAAGTGAGCTTGATCGTAATATACTGCCCGCGGATTAGTGGGTACAACACGAGGAAAATGAAAGAAAAGCCATTACTAAACTAAAAAAAAAATATCGAAATTTTACACTCTTAAGACTCGTTTTCAATATGCAAGGTGTATTTTTATTTTAACATGTCCAAATAACAGTCAATTCCACGGAAATGACTGTCCTCCGCAATATTAATTTCAGGAATGCACAGTTATTTTGACATGTTTATTACAGAATTTCTTACTTATAATAATATAAAGCCATAAGTCGAAAAAATAGAAACTACAGAAAAGCAAATTGGATGACGTCAAAAGGACAAGCAAAACATACAAAACGACACAGACCACTTACGACTGGGAACTTAAAACCTTACCAAATCAAAATGATGGGATGGGATGAAGACAATATCTGAGCATAAAGTTAAACGGTTCATATTCTCCAAACGGCAGACGGTTTTGTTCAGGAACTCATTGTATAGCATGTATAGGGACAAATTTAATATATCGAAGAGAATGAAAAATATCAAAAAATCTTCAAATGAATAACAACTATCATAGAACATCTCACAAGGTATAACTATTTAAAAAAGTTAAAAAATTTGAGAATTTCACAAACGTTTGCATTTAAGGGAAAAAGCTATAGTTTTTTTGTTAATTGTAGGCGAAGATCTAAACCTAAAAGTGAAAAATATCTCAGCAACCGGGACAAGATAACGGGAAGCCACGAAAATACGTATTGTAGTGAGTAAATCATTATACATGTTATATTCGGTCGAAAATTTGAAATTGTATACCATGTTCTCTCTCTCCCTCCATGTGTCCAGTCATCTATTCATCCATCCCTCTTCCTCTCCATCCCTTCCTCCCTTCCTCCATCTATCTATTCGTCCATTTAATAGTTGTTATTTTTTTTAATTTAAGATCATAAAGATAAACTGAAGACGGAGGATATATATCTAAATTTAGAAAGTGAACAGGATTCTGATAATGCAAAACATCCCATGTCTGGTAAAAAAGAAAGTAAAACAAGTGTTATTGAAGTAAAAGACGAATACCCAGAAGAGTATGATGATGAAGAAGAAGAAGAAAATGTGTATCATAATGACCCTTCTGAACAAAAAATTACTAAATACAAAGTGCTAATAGAAGACCTTAGAAAAGTTATCAACGAGAAAAAAAGGGATGATGGTTTCAAGAATGAATATGAGGTCAGTTAATTCATTGTTCTATGATAACTATGACGAGTTCCACTATCTTGTTCTTATAAATGATGAATGCACAGAAATTTTCTATATTTGAAGATAGAATATGAAGTTAGAAATGTACATAATTGACATGACGTGTGATATAAATCTTTATGTATTGTACAGACACCTTTCTATTGTTAAATATAAAGAAATAAAAATGAGGAAAATCAATATAATTGACAATTAGACAACAAGCTAACAGAAACAATGAAACGAACAGCTACAGACCACATTACGACCTTCAATAATGAATAAAACTACGAACCTATAAATTGTTCTGGATACAAAATTGAACCAATCCTAACGAGAAAACTAACGGCCCGATTTTTGCACATGCCATTATATGAAACAATATTTGAAACAGACAGAAACAAACGACAACCACTGAACTACAGACTCCTAAAGGACCAATAGGTTGAGGTTGTTCATTTACGATCTCTTTAAGTAACCTCACATTTCATGATATCGATACTCATCTTTAGTAATTTCTTGTTTACATTTTTGGATATATTTGTACCTAAAATTAAACCGTTCAAGTGGATATATTAAATTGATTACACCATACTCCTTTTAGATCTTACCTAAAGGGCTTGTTCATGCTCATACTGAAGGTTCAAAAGAAGAAAACAAAGTTAAAAATCGATTCCTCTCAACATGGCCATGTACGTATTTTTAGTTATATTTTTAATTTATAATCAAAACTTAAGAAAACAAGGAGCACGGGAACCGATTCAACATTTAAATGTGAGGTGACATGCATTATAATAACTTTGTTTTGGGTGCAGTTTCTAGATTGTTTGAACACGATGTTTCAACTACTTAATCTGATGAAAACGACTCACACAAGGGAATTGGGGGGGGGGGGGGGGGGGGGGGGAGGGAGGGGTTATGACAAAGGTTTCCACTAACGTCAAATTTGTTTACATAAATCTTTACAAATATGTGGACAGTTTATATCCTGAAATTCTTGCATTTATTTGTACTGTATTCCTGTCACGTAATATGTCATTTTTGCGGTATTTTCAACATTAGCATATAAGCGGGAGGTTTGGCTAGTCATAAAACCAAGTTCAACCACCATTTTTTCTTAAAACATGTAAAATGTCCGTTACCAAGTCAGGAATATGGCAGTTGTTATCACATAGTCCGTTTCTATGTATGTTGGCGTTTGTTTTTGTAGCAGTTCAGTGTTTCTGTTGTTCCGTTTTGTTTCCTCTTATAGTTGATGTGTTTCCCTCAGTTTTGGTTTGTGACCTGCATTTGTTTAAATTAAATCGATTTATGACTATTGAACAGCGGTATACTACTATTGCCTTTATTTAGACTAACTATGGGATGATTTTGCATGATGCAATTTATTTCGTGATCAAATTAACGTAGTATTGAGTTTCTCCGTCATCTTCGATCGTACACATGCAGAAAACGATCGGTTTACATATAAAAAAAAAACCAAATGTTGAGGCTGGAAAGTAATATACTAGTAAACTGCTTCATTTAATTGAAGAACATAGGGTGCTTTAAACCTATCATTAGCAACGGATTTGTAAAAAATAATCTTTGTCGGCACTCAAAAAACCAAACACAAAACGTATTAAGCCAAGTCTGCGTTATAGGTTAACTTGAAATTTGTCTTATAACTGATTGGAGTTAAATCTACAACATGTTGATGTTTATTTCTCGGTTTTTCCTTATCAAACCATTTTCTGCATAAGATTCATGCATATATGCATTGCATTGGACATAAATAATACCTATCTTAGTTTATGTTTTCTATAACATTACGTAATGGAAAGCTTGTAAAAATAAGTAATTGTACTATGAAACATATTTTTAAATGTACCAGTTTAATATATCTCATGTATTGAACGTAACAGTAAATGTATATGTATATATTGTATCAACTATATTATGTTCTTGTAGATGACCATTCAAGGGTTGTGTTGGCAGGAGATATCAAGCATGATTACATAAACGCTAGTTACATTGATGTAAGATAATGTCCTTTAATATAACGCTTTGAGATTTTTAACATCGTCAGGTTCCACGATCTGACCATGCTGACTAAGTAATCATCGCGTCCACCAATTAAAGTACAACATCAAAACATTACGGCAAAATTTATCAACGTTGTCAGATTCCTATAAGTGACTAGTAGTTAAAGAGTCCAGGATTACATCACATTGTTTTATCGCGGCAAAATGTTCAATTACAATCTTCAATAACTTTACTGTAATATCCAAACTTAAGATCTTTGTCTACGATTACACTTCTATTCCCCATGGTCAAATAAAAAATCGAATACCACTTACATCGTCTCATTATACATAGCTTTCCATTAGAAGAAAATGGGCATTACAGATACACATTTCGTGTTTTAGGTCATGCAAAAACTTGCTTTGTGAAGAACTGCACTAATTCGAAAAAACACAAACATCCGAGATGATGGACTTTTTGATCGACAAACCCCCTCCCCCCATTTGTTTAGGGTTATTTATATAGAAATCACCATGTCCATCTATCTGTCCGTATGTCCGTCCCGCTTCTTTTCCAATACATAACTTTTGTCCCGTAAATCAAACTTGGTATGCAGTTGCATCATGGGCTGGGTATGTACCACCTACTACATTCAGGTCATGCTGACCTTTTGACTTTAATTTTTGAACACTATGATAGTAAAACCTTATCCAATTAATATTCGGCTCATAACTTTTTTATTTTACATTTTAGAATAACCAGACTTTGCTTGCAGTTACATCATTGGCTTGGGGTTTGTCCTATAATAAAGTCAGATCTTTGACCCCTATGATAGAAAAAGCTTATCCAATGCGTGTCAGCTTCATATCTATTGTACCGTAAACTTAAGTTTACCAAGCTTGGTATGTAATTGCATTATAGGCTCGGAGTGTGTCATATACTACAACGTCGAATCATTCTAACCTTAGTTTTGACTTTTGACCCCTATGATAGTAAAATCTTAACCAATTTGTTTCCGCTCAATTATTTTGTACCGTATTGGTAAGGTTAACCGAACGTTGTTTGCAGTTGTATTATGAGCTTCGGGTGTGTGATATACCAAAGTCAGGTTACTCTGACATTTGCTATGTGGACAGGTTTTTAGTTTTATGAATTGATACTTCAATAGACAGGCAATATTCATATTGGTACTTATCGTGCATCACTACTGGCCGACTTTTTTTGTCTTTAATCGTATGAATCTGAATTAAAACAAAACTTATCAAAAATAAAAATAAAAACTTCTTGCAGAGTTCTTTAATTTCATTTTCAAATTTAAATATGTTGATGATTCCCAGTCACTCAAGTCTCAAAGTCAAATTTTTCAGTGAGTGCTTGTATCATACATATCAATGAGAACTTGAGATGAAGGATACTATCGTAACTAGACGGTCTGCTTTACATCTGAATCTTTTCGTCGTTATTAACACAGATAGACGACTTTAAACTAGAATTTTTGACAAACGTGAAGATTTCAACTTCCCAGTTGTTCACTTATCATTTCTAAATAATAACATTTCCTCTGCCTCATCGAATGGCGTTACGATATCTAAAGGATTCATTATGAATGTACATTTCACATTATATAGATATCATGCAAATGGGAGTGCTCCATTGACGAATAAAATTCTCCAACAGAGTTATGATAAAGAACGACTGTAATTTACACTACATAAGTGTTACTGTCACCCTCATGAATTAGTTGATCGATACGATATTTGAGTCTCAAATAACTAGTGAGATAATTTGGAAGTCTTAGATCAGTAAATTTTAGAGAATTCTCATCGGTAAATTTATCGATTGCGTCCTATTTTCGATTGTGACATTTTTTACTGATTGTGACTGGTGGTTGCTGCTACCATATCAGGAGACACTTATCCGGTAAAAGCACCCTGTTACGTTCATTTCTGGAGTTCAAGCGATCTATTTAGTTGTTGTGTGTAACCTTGACTTTTCATCTCGAATCACTACGATATTTAAACATTGGAACATTACTGTTGCCCTGATTTACAACCATATTTAAAAGTAATATCTAATATAAAAAAAGTGAAAAAGTGTAATCAATATCAAATAAGTTTTGTATTTATGGTTTAACAATATCTAGCGTATTTTTTTCAGAGTTATGACAGAAAAAAGGCATACATAGCCTCACAAGGTTTGTAAAATTATAGAAGTTCCAGTATTATTGAAATCTATTTTTTGTAGTTTTTGGGGGGTTTCTATATTTATCATGATGATGTCAGTGTTCAAAAACCATTTTTGCGGAAACTTAAACGCATAACAACCTTATTTTAAACGAATCTGTCAATTTTAATTTTTTTTATAGTTTAGGGGTGGGGATAAGGTCTAACACACTTTTGGTTGTGTACGTAGGTCCGAAAAAGAATACACTACGGGATTTCTGGCAAATGGTCTGGCAGGAAAATGTTTGCAAAATAGTGATGGTCACGAAACTGGAAGAGGAAAGAAGGGTAGGTATTTGTAGTCATAATCATAATTGCACTCCCTTTTTTATCATTAGCTATAATATATAGTGTATTGGTCTACCGTCTTTGCTATTTATCAAGCTTCTCAGGAAGTTTGAATGAAAATAGAATAATCTTGGATTGCCAAAAAAAAGCGTTCCTTGTCGACGCCCTCGATATCGCTCGTTTTGGAGTTCATACGTTTTTCTATGTTACTTTTTATATGTATCTTCGTAATTGATGAATGAAATTTGAACATTGGTAAACTGCTGTTTCCTTAATAGGCATCCGATCACACAAATACAACCGGTTTAATCAGACAACAGGATAAAACAAAAAATGTTTTACTTAATAAAAACTGACTAACCGTAAAGTAGAGGATCCTCATTATTTGAATATGCGTTGTTTTAATAGATTTTGTTTTTAAATTTCTAAATATCATATTTTGAAATTCTCCCGTTTACAACTCAACTCAATTTTGAAAAAAAAACATCGGTCTTAAGTCTCCGATAAACGTTTGCATTTCTGTAGATAATATCTTTGAAATATGTGTGTCAAACAAACTTCTTTTATAGTTGAATACATATCACATGCACTTTGAAATTTCTGTATTTTAGAAAAAATGTGAACAATACTGGCCTAAAACCGTCAATAAAGCAACAATGGTAGACAACTATAGACTAACAATGACAGAGGAGATATACCATACCATTTATGTGTACAGATTGATTATACTACATAACAAAACGGTAATATTGAATAAAATATTTCAGTTTACTTCAAAACAATTGTAAGTGTCAATGTAATAGCCATTACATGTATCCATCAAAACACCGGTACCAGAACAAATATTTAAATACATAAAATAACTGTTATAGCTATACAGGCGAGTTCAAACCAAGACTTTTTGCATTTCCGAAAAAGATTACCTTTTACAGTACTTGGCAAAACCTTTCGGAAGTTTTGGCCCTCAATGCTTTTCAATTTTGTACTTTATTTGGCCTTTTTAACCTTTTTATTCGAGCGTCACTGATGAGTTTATTGTAGACGAAACGTGCATCTGACGTACCATATTGTTAGCCTGGTTTCCATGAAGATTTTATATAGTAAGCACGACCTATTTTTCATTCGACATCAACTCAGCGCTAGCATTGCTCAATAACTACAGCATACACTAGTTAAAAGTTGGGAAATGTATCGTTGTCAAGAACGTGAAGCACTCGATGTGTTTTCGGCATATTTACCCTGTTAACCCTTTCAGAGCACCTGTGATAGCCCCTGGTTTTTGGGGGTGTTCTTTTTACTAACTGTATTGTTTTCTATGTTGTGTTTTGTAAACTCGTTTGATTGTCTTTTGGTATGTTTTTTTTTACCAAGGCGTTGCCAGTTTATTTTCGACTTTGAGTTTGAATGTGCCTTTGGGATCTTTCGATTCTCTTTTACCTAGTTAGGATAACATTTAGCATTGCTTAGCTGTTTATGCGACCGTAAATGTAAACCTTCTGTAATGTTAGCGTAATCTGTACATGCTGTACAACCATTGTGAAGTTAAACAAAAACCATTTATCATGTAAATAGTATTTCATTTCAGCTGTCTTTGCAGTAAATTAACTATTATAAAAGCATCAAGATATACGTCTAAGATTAATGCTATAAAGTTTATAATCAAATTTGAAATGAAGTTTTCTTCTATTTTGCCTTGCATCGTCTTGTTGATCTTGTGGTAGTGAACTAATCTCAAGTACGTGATGTCGAGGGTTCTATCTCCCGTCTCTTCGAAGCAAATACTTGAGAATTGGTATTTGCTCCTTCTCCGCTAAGCACTCAGCTCTAAATTTTAAAATCAAAGACTAGAATTATCGGAGGCAAAGATTTGTGTCCAGATGGGTAATTTTTCTTTAAGCAGAGTTTTACCTTTTCAACTTGTAGTTAAAAAACTAGACTAATCGAATCGGTCTAGAAAAAAAAATAAGATACACAGCAGGCAAAAAAACTAAAGCTTTTTTTGCGATTTCCTTCTTTTTTTGGTTGTTGTCTTGATTAATTTTTCCATCATCGATTTTCAATATTTCAAAATCAGTAGACAATTGTAGCTTAAATATAAGGATTTATTTTGGACACCTTCTCTTTCTTCTTTGTGATTGAAAACCAATCGGGTACGTATCTACAATCTTATCACACACACACATATATATATGTTCATCCTATTTCGACTCTTCAAAATTCAAGAATCAATCCTAAATTGAGGTAAATTATATGGCCTTCCAAATACTGTTTCGATTCCTAACATCACTGAAGAGACATTAATTGTCAAATCCGGATATGGTGTACCAATTTTTGCACCTCATGTTTGCGGTATAACATCTTTTCCGCAAGTTTATTGTTTTCTGTTTGGTATTAAATCAATCATTAAGATCCATTTTGTTACATCTGGTGATCCGTTTATTTGGCAGTCAGCAGGGTTTGAGAACATCCATTGTTCAACCTGCTAGTCCAACATGTCCAATGCGTTTTGTTAAAATATACATTTTCAATATTTGGTCTTTTGTAAATGTTGTTTGTGCTGTTATGAGACCCTTCTACCAAGAACTTTGTTTTGCATGCACACGTATAAAAATTGCGATTTTTATACAACGCAATTATATATATATATATATATACAAGTCTAAATTGAAAACAACGTTCAAACCTATGATTGCGTTGGATAAAAACCGCAATTTTTATACGTGTGCATGCAAAACAAATTTCTTTGTAGAGGGGTCTAAATACAGCACAAACAACATTTTCCAAAAGACCAAAAAAGTGAAAAAGTATATTTTAACAAAACGCATTTGACTAGCAGGTCGAACAACGGATGTTCTTAAACCCTGCTGACTGCCATGGCGATTGCCAAATAAACGGATCACAGATGTAACACAATGGATCTTAATTATATTAATTAAATACCAAACAGAAAACAATAAACTTGCGGAAAAGACGGTATATCGCAAACATGAGGTGCAAAAATTTGTACACCATATCCGGATTTCGACAATTAATGTCTCTTCAGTGATGTTAGGAATCGAAACGGTATTTGGAAGGCCATATAATTTACCTCAATTTGGGATTGACTCTTGAATTTTGAAGAGTCGAAATAGGATGAACGGATCATATAAACCCGAAGGCAAATATAATACAAGCCCAAACGAAAAAATATAAACAAGTCTAAATTGAAAACAACGTTCAAACCTATGATTGCGTTGGATAAAAACCGCAATTTTTATACGTGTGCATGCAAAACAAATTTCTTTGTAGAGGGGTCTAAATACAGCAGAAACAACATTTTCCAAAAGACCAAAAAAGTGAAAAAGTATATTTTAACAAAACGCATTTGACTAGCAGGTCGAACAACGGATGTTCTTAAACCCTGCTGACTGCCATGGCGATTGCCAAATAAACGGATCACAGATGTAACACAATGGATCTTAATTATATTAATTTAATACCAAACAGAAAACAATAAACTTGCGGAAAAGATGGTATATCGCAAACATGAGGTGCAAAAATTTGTACACCATATCCGGATTTCGACAATTAATGTCTCTTCAGTGATGTTAGGAATCGAAACGGTATTTGGAAGGCCATATAATTTACCTCAATTTGGGATTGACTCTTGAATTTTGAAGAGTCGAAATAGGATGAACGGATCATATAAACCCGAAGGCAAATATAATACAAGCCCAAACGAAAAATATAAACAAGTCTAAATTGAAAACAACGTTCAAACCTATGATTGCGTTGGATAAAAACCGCAATTTTTATACGTGTGCATGCAAAACAAATTTCTTTGTAGAGGGGTCTAAATACAGCACAAACAACATTTTCCAAAAGACCAAAAAAGTGAAAAAGTATATTTTAACAAAACGCATTTGACTAGCAGGTCGAACAACGGATGTTCTTAAACCCTGCTGACTGCCATGGCGATTGCCAAATAAACGGATCACAGATGTAACACAATGGATCTTAATTATATTAATTTAATACCAAACAGAAAACAATAAACTTGCGGAAAAGATGGTATATCGCAAACATGAGGTGCAAAAATTTGTACACCATATCCGGATTTCGACAATTAATGTCTCTTCAGTGATGTTAGGAATCGAAACGGTATTTGGAAGGCCATATAATTTACCTCAATTTGGGATTGACTCTTGAATTTTGAAGAAATTATATATATATATATATGTGTTTATATTATGATTATGTATAATTTCAAAAAGAATTTGATGATGCATATGTGAGTAATTTTGAACAACTTAAAGATGGCATATAATAAGTAAAATTCCGAATAAGAAAGTATTCGGAGTGTATCATATTACGGAGATGTCTGACGACCAAATAAAAATAAAATATGCAAACAACTCCACATGCTAGAAAACTATGAAAAAGAAATAATGTTTTTTGGTAGTCACAATAGGATAATAAAAAGCTGATCGAAATAAAATAGCATTTTTACATTTAAAATACCAAATACTGGACTGAGGAATAATTGAATGTTTTTAAGAGTTAGTAACATTTTGTAATTTTAGAATCAGCAAGAACGAAGCATTCATCATTTTCATTTCACACAATGGCCGGATCATGGTGTTCCAGATAGCATTAAACTGGTCAACTTTTACAGGAAAGTGAAAAGCAAAAAATGTGATAAAAATGGTCCAGTGGTGGTGCATTGCAGGTACATATATGCTTTACGCCTTATTATCAAAATAGCATACTAGCATATTACATCCATATCTTTCATTCTGATAAAAAAATGTATTTCTGTCCTCTTAGTCATATATATTAAAACACTTTATATCTTAATATAAAAACAAAATTGTGTAAGCCTGTTTTTCAAATAAAGGCAAGATTATGACGTACTTTCAGATCCATATTATTGTCGAAAAGTTTTAGATGTTTTTGTTACAAGCACGCTCACAATCTATAGAATTGAAATACTGTTTTCCAAACAATCATGCTACTGACTATATGTTAGAAGTGAAGTTTTATAAAACTTAATACTGAAAAAAACTGACTCAAATCATATTGCTTTTAATAACAAAACAGAAAAGGTATGTTATAACTCAAACGTTTTTCCCTACAGAAGGACAATCAGAGCGAATTAAAAATCGACCAAATAACAATCGTCAAATGACCAAAATGACCCCAGTCTGTCAGACATCAGTATTTGCGTTTGTCTTTTAAATTGGAATTGATACTTCAAATTTCTTTATTTGTGCAAAAACCAACAAGTTAGCCTCGTTTGAGAACTTGTTACTAATATTTAGATATTAGTAAATGCCTGACCAAAAAAGATATGTTACTTTTATGTATAGAAACGTATCGTTTTGGACGAGGCATTGACTCATATCAATTCTGACCAACATCTATGTGTAAAAGGGCCAATTATGCACTACAATGTCCATACTATAACAATGCGCATGATGATACTATTTGTAAAATTTCAGGAGCCTAACAATGGCTCTTATTATATATCCACCTTTATGTTAAATTCCTTGCTATCATTTATATGAAGCATACATGTTTTAGTGCTGGTGTTGGAAGGACAGGTACATTCATAGCTGTAGATGCCCTTTATGAGCATGGCAAACAAGTTGGTTACGTTGATATTATGGAGTATGTTCAGATGATGAGGAAAGATAGAATGAATATGATTCAAACACATGTATGTAACATTTTAAACGAACATTAAAAATAAATATATTTGCATTAATCTATAAGCTGCGCAGTCTATGAAGACAAGTAGTACTAAATTAGATAACCCAAATTCGCCAAAATACTTAATTATATATAAATATTGTCAATTTGTTGATATGTTGTTAATCTATTTAGTATGGGTACTTGCTTACTGTTTATAAGAACAGGGAAAGTAATTCGTGGATTGTGATTACTTTCGCCTTTAGATGAGACTAAACTAAACCTATGTTGTAATGTGCTTTCTACGCTGTTTTGAAATATTTTTGTTTGGTGTCTACTATGTTTCAACGATAAGAAATAATAAAAACTATGTTGCTTTTTTTTTACCCTTTAACCGTAACTTTTTTAATTTGTAGGGACAATATTCGATCGTGTTTGAAGCACTGCTGGAACTATTCACGGTTCCAAATACGTCCATTCAAAAGAATGATTTCTGCGAATATATACAAAAGCAAGAAAACAAGACATTACCGACAAATCAAACAATATTCAGAGAAGAGTTTCAGGTACCAAATATATTTAAATGGTGTGTTCTTCACAGAAAGGAAGATTATATCTGCATAAAAATGTGGATTTTAGTGTTGCACCAAAACTTGCCTTTTAATTTTTATGTTTCCTAAACATGCTTGTGTTGTGTGCTGCATTGGTAAGAAAAACACGCAAACAATATGTATATTAAACTTCAGATGTACGTTAAACTTCGTTATATCTATTGTTGAAATGGGGTAGTTTGCAAGATTTATATTTAAGTGTTTAATGTCCTGAACATCAGAATTAAAATATCATTTGGTAAGGACATTACTGATTTCCATTACTAAAATACAATGTTTTTACTGCAAAACTGTCGCATCTTGTCCAATATGTGCCTATTACAATTGTATCATTGTGTTTTTTTTTTCTTTTTTTCTTATTAACGGCATTGTCTATTTATTCACCAAATATGCTTGTTACATAATTACTTCAAGAGTCCAAGTTTTTTGTGAAGTATGATGTAATATTCCACTGACTACCCAGATTAGTAATCAGCTGTTGCTATATACATATATAAATAAACAGTTCTAGACATACAATTGTACGCAAGTTTAATGCAGCATGTTTTTATCTTTTCAATTTTGTATACATCTTTTCATTGACTTCAGTAATGGATTATTTTCATTGTACTATTTTCGTTATATTTGTTAATGTATTTCAACAGAAATTTTATTAACATTTACATGTTTTAATTTCTGATTAGATACATAATATAATTTGTATATAGATGAACCTAAAATTTTAAGGAAATAATTCAGACCAAAATATTTTTAGTCAATTCTTATTTCCAAAGACTAATTGCTTTAACGATACGCTAAAATCTGAATTTGATTTTCTCATTAACTCATGAATAGTTTCCAAAAACATGAAAAAGTGTTCTAAAAATCGACAAGAAATAAAATAGATGTTACAATCTTCTTCTTCGTTAAATACATAACATATAAAAATAAGGAGATGTGGTATGATTGCCAATGAGACAACTATCCACCAAAATTTAAATGAAATGGATGTAAGCAATTGACCGTTGTTCTTCTATTCTATTTAAATAATAGTGTTATGTTGGTAACATGAATTGTTAACTTAGAACAGAATTGTTTGAATATTGAAAGCAACTTGAAGACAATGAAAATTAGGATGTATCTTTTTCATTATATTGTGTAAGACGTGTTTTGACTTTGTATCAGGAAAGTACTAACAAAAATACCGAACAAAATAAATTCAAAAAGAGGAATGTTCATAAAACCGGACAACATCAAATGTTAGACTATATAAACCAACGGAACGAATGGAAAACAACTGTCAAGATTATTTGTTTTAACAATTCAATGCATGGTAGATATAATAATATCTTTGTTTATATGTGTTGGGCATGTTAGTTAGTATCTAACAAATGTCTTACTTTAAAAATGTTTGCCTTTGTATTATCATCTGCTTTGGTTTTGTAATAGTATTTGTCTACGTGCAGATTTTGAAAAATGACTTTTGTTATCATTGAAATTGCGAGCAATCTGAGCACATTAATTAACTACATTAATGCAAAATGTTTTCACAATGTTTATGTTATTAGTGTTTGAACATAATCTGAAATTGATTATTGTACCCAAGCTCCATCATGTCTGAAATAACTAGCCTTTACGTGCTATTTGGTACTTCTTAAATCAATATATCAAGACCTGCAAACTGTATATATTTTTTTTATTTTTGAAAGATACGACCATGCTAGTATTGTACATCTGTTCATTTAACAAAAAATTTCTTCGATATATTTGAAATTGGTTAAACAGAATTTTTGTTCTGTTAATACCTTTGTGACTTTTAACAGACTAATGATATGCCCGATCTTGCATTTTCACTCATGTCATATATTGCCAATTATCTTTTATGGTTTGGTTATTTTACTCTTATGTTTCATGGAAATGCCTTTCTTATTGTTTATTCGGGTTGAATATGATGCAACCTAAATATTAACCATTAAACTCAAAGCGCTGTCGAAACACCAGAGCAAAACATATTTTCATACATCAAGATTTCTACATAACTTCGACTCCTATATTGAATCGTGGATATAAACTGTGCAGTTGTTAAATACAAATCATCTAAAAATAGTTGATTTATATCTTCAGTTTTGAAAAACAATCGTCAAAAGAGACGTTTAGATGGCCCTAGTCAATTGCTTTTGATTTTAAGTGTGTTGTTCTAATTATCTCTGGCCTTGTTTCGGTATACTATATAGTGCCGAAAAACGAATAAGGAACTCATATTCAGATGGTAATCAATGTGACTGTCCGCGGCAGATAAATAAGGCAGGAAATATGTAGATCATTTGCTTTCTGGCATATCAGATGAAACGAGCAACACATGTTTTACTTGTGTATAACTTTTGGTTGATGGGGCTCATCTCATTTAGTCCATAGTCCTCGGAAAACCCCAGAGTTTATTTCTTACCAGCAAAATACAAGTGACACTGTCTGATTTTGAATTGTTGATGACATATCAGTGACGTGATGTTCTAATAGTCAAGTCCTCATTTGGTTCTAGTTACCTAAGTGACAATCCCTAAACAGCTTCATAATTTAACATCGTTTTCATTTTCCCACTTTAGAGATTGCGAACATTGCGGCCATCATATTCTTCAAATGCGTTTACTGCTGCAAATTGTAAAGAAAACAAATCAAAGAATTCTACAAAAACAGTCCTTGCACGTAAGTACACATTTTCATGAATTAACGCTTCCTAGAGAGTGTATTGTTGCGATTATAAAATAAAGTAAATAACGTTGGAATAATAGTATTTCTGAAAAATCACATTAAATATATCATCCTTTTGATAAGAACAATCATTCAACTATCTTAGCAGTGCGATGTTAGCACGAAATACGAACAGAGATATATAAACATCTTTATGATATATATATATATATATAAATGGTTGACAAAATGTGAATCTGGTATACCTTAAATGTGTACATGAAATGTTTCAATTTATTTGTTGATACTTAATAAAAAAATAACCAAACCAAACACACAAACACACCGACTCTGAGTATTGCAATTTGATATGGTACCTAGATATTGACGTAATTAGGAGTTATTTGTGGAATTGAGGACCACGGATGTGCTCCAATAGTCGTAGCTACAATCCCTTCCCTTTTTCCTTGATTGTGACAAAAGGACTGAAACAAAACCTAAAACTGTTTGAAGAAGAATGTGCCAAATTTTGATTCAAATCTGAAGTGCTCGGTTTAGCACCCTAGGACCTCTATTATCAAATTGGTTTCACTTACTGAATGTTGATATTTACTTATGTCGACAAAATGGTATGTTCCCACGAGAAAAAAAATATATATATCTAAAAGTTATGTCACTGAGGACCTTGGATGATGTGTTCCAATTGTCGTGGCCACAACTACGATATCTTTACTTTGATTGTGATATCATCGATGGAGACTTATAACTGAATTTTGACTTACTATCAACACGACGGGTGTCAGATGTTGTTGAGGATCAGTGTACCCTGCCTCAGTACATGAGACCTCCGCAGTTTCTGGTTGGGTTTGTATTGCTCAGTGTTAGATTTTTGTATGTAATGCTATGCCACTGCTGGTATTAATTCCTCGTTATTTGTGTTTGGCAAAACAGCTAGTGTTGTATTACAAATGATGTGATTGTTTTTCAAAACTGCGAGCTAATGGAACATTTTCAATTTTGACTATGTATGATTTAACAGTTGCAATTGTGATTTTTTCAAATTATATGTTACAGATGACAAATATAGACCGTACTTAATGTCTTATGGTAAAACCAGAAGTGACTACATCAATACCGTAATAATTCCAGTGAGTAAATGTTTAAATTCATCATTCTATAAGCATTTACTTTATTCGTGTTTATACTACTAGTATGAAGTTTCTTCAATTCCTCATGACCACTTTAAATTAAAATAATACTTATAAAAAACCACATGCAGACTCATCAACATTGTTTTTTCCTGCATTTTACTTATTGATGTGTGTATAGCAATTTGTACCACAGTATAGTTCAGATAGTTCTAGTCGTTTGTTTTTGTTTTCTTTGCTACTGATTAGCAAACGTTATAAGGTACACATTATATAAATAACGCATAGCTGAGAAGTGATAGAGCAGATTGTTACCCCGAGAATACATTGTAGTCCGCGGCGAAGCCAAGGTTGAAAATGTTTTTTTTTCGAGGGGTTATAATCTGCTCTATCACACTATCAGCTATGCACTATTTAATTTATTATAATGAATGTTCTGTCATTGTTGTCATTTAAAATTGTCTATTAATTAAAAGTAATAGTCTATGAAGTCATGTAAAAAACAACGTTACAGTCATTAGAAAAATAACAAACGCGAAGCAAGATGTGGGAACATGGCATACAATTGGATCCGGCAGTTCATACATTGCATTGGTTATCTGGCAAAATATTGTATTTGCATACCAACAGTTAGCTGCATATAAATTCATATATACAAAAAGTATAACAATATTTTATAGATTGATGTTTAAAACTGTATTAATTTTTTTGTTTTCACTTTAGTTTGCTTATACAACAAATTCTAATGTTAGTCCTGTTTTATTCATTCACATTTCATTCATTTTATCACAGGGCTATGCAGTTCATAGTAAAATGTTTGCAACACAGTGCCCACTTGTTGAAACTGTAATTGATTTTTGGACAATGATGTATGATCACAGTTCCAAAATTATTGTTTTGTTGGACCCTGGAAATAAGGTGAGCTTCATTCCTGTTCCTTTCGATTACATGAGGTATCTTGTTTATAGTTATACTTTGCTTAGCTGAATTTAATGAGTCAGCAATTGAGTGTCAAATCATGTCAAATTAAAAAAAAACACGAATTCAATCAATTCAAAACCTAATATTTATGGAAGAAAACACAATTTCTAACATAAAATCATAGGGACATTCACAAACATGATATCTAGATGATTTCAT